TGTCTAGACTGAACGAGGATCTATTTGCGGATGGATGACCAATAGTGTCTGAGAACCTGTAAGACGTAGTTAAAAGTAACACGTTTTTCTCGCTCAGGGTACGAGACAGGCGGCTAATGGCAATTAAGTGACCATGCCAGAGTACTTCGGCTAATCCGGTTGGCCGAGTCCAGTTATTGTCCTTTTAATCCGACGCTTACACCGTCAGAACTTAACGAGCATTCGTTGCCGGGAACGAGAGAGGGAGGTTATCCGCGGTAAGGACAGGCGGGATCCAAGTCCGCGTTTTAACTGGAACAGAAGCCGTCTATTACTTTATAAACTCGCGCCGCAATGTTGGTCTTGGTGTTGGAAAACACTCGACCAGTGTTTTCATGACTACGGAAACCCGCATTCGCGACTTGCCGAGCTAACCGGTCGCGAAGGCATCGCCGCGACGGTATTATTCGATCCAATTTATAAGCGGTTCGGTTCCGATTAATTTTGCACACTCNGATATTGATTTGAACGAATATGTTTATTCATTCAAATTCGTTATGTTTCTGATTTCCTTAACCCCTTAATGCACAATTTAAAAAAAAAACCGACCAAAAAAAATCAATTTTTTTTATCTAAGAAAATACATATTTGGACCTTAATTTCAATAAATATGTAAAAAAAATGCAAAAATTACTAAAAATTCAATAAAAATAGTAGATAAATAATTATAGTGAATATTGAATCGCATTGCAGATCGAATTTTGTACCCATCGTACTGTTTTTCAATTAATATAGGTAACATAACATAAGTTGCGACGCCGACCGTATATATACGGGTCTGCACATTTTGGCCGGTTTTGCACGCCCGTGTTAATACGTTTCTGCGCGTTAAGGGGTTAAACTTAAACGATTTGAGCAGTTTCTGCACTATTCCCTCACTCCTGCTGTATTTCCAAGCTTCACATCATAAAGAATGAATATACTAATTTTGAATTCTTTGCTCGGCGACTTCATCCCCGTATAAGAAGTTGAAGCATGGAAACTTATGAAAGATGCATAACGTATCAACAAACTCGGATCAAATTTAATATTGACAATAACGTTGCTACGAAAAACGAAACGAACCATTTCCAGTGTCTAATATTCAATCTGCAACGACAATACTGAATGTATTTAGAGTTTCCACCATTTTGTTAACAACGTAAGCTTGAACAGAGGAATTTATTCGATCGTTTCTTAAGACAGAGTTTTCATAAATTTCAACAATTTGAGAATAAAAAATAGCGTTCACTGTGACCAGCGTGATTGGTTTAATGTTAAACTAACGCATGTGTCGTTTACGTATAGTATATTAATCCAGAGGTCAAATCCGGTTGCGAGGTGTAAAATGTCTAGACTGAACGAGGATCTATTTGCGGATGGATGACCAATAGTGTCTGAGAACCTGTAAGACGTAGTTAAAAGTAACACGTTTTTCTCGCTCAGGGTACGAGACAGGCGGCTAATGGCAATTAAGTGACCATGCCAGAGTACTTCGGCTAATCCGGTTGGCCGAGTCCAGTTATTGTCCTTTTAATCCGACGCTTACACCGTCAGAACTTAACGAGCATTCGTTGCCGGGAACGAGAGAGGGAGGTTATCCGCGGTAAGGACAGGCGGGATCCAAGTCCGCGTTTTAACTGGAACAGAAGCCGTCTATTACTTTATAAACTCGCGCCGCAATGTTGGTCTTGGTGTTGGAAAACACTCGACCAGTGTTTTCATGACTACGGAAACCCGCATTCGCGACTTGCCGAGCTAACCGGTCGCGAAGGCATCGCCGCGACGGTATTATTCGATCCAATTTATAAGCGGTTCGGTTCCGATTAATTTTGCACACTCAAGCAAAAGTTTCTATTATAAAGCGTGCAGTTGTGTGAATTCTCATCGATTCCTTTGTATAATATTTATCTTCTGTACAGAAATCAATATCGTACCATTTCTTCTTATGAATATGCATTTCTGGTGTTTGGTTACGAATTAATAATCGCAGTTGCGTTGTGTATTTAGCGTTTGTCACAACCATAGGTTTGAAATGATCCTGCGAATGGACGTGTATAATTGTTCCATGGACATGCTGCTTTGGATGAATATTGATAGAGCATTCATGTTGTGATAGCCACGGAACGGATACTGTGTTTCTTTGTTGTTGTGACGGATAATGTAGTTTGCAGTGATGCTGAATGCATACTTGCAGCTTGCTAATATCGATGCTTCATCAAAATAATTTGATCGTCTACTGTATGTATAATATATTTCTTAATAAATCTTATATTTATCCCCCAACTAATAATAATCCTCTTCATAGTCAGGTATAAAAAATTACAAGAAACAATTTTCGAAAATAATGGTGACTTCCAGATACGTGAAAACCCTCAACGTATCATCAAATTATTACAGCCATTTTGTAGTCTCCTTCGCTTAGTACAATTGTTGAATGCAAAATTTCTTAACATTTAAAAAAATAATAAAGACATTCAAAGTTATGAGAGTAATTGTTCCGCTCTGTATATTTTCTCAATTTTGGAAAAAGTAAGACATCAAATTTAATAAATAAATCGGCCATATATGTATACTACAAACTGTGTTAGGCACGTGCACATGAAATATCGGATTTTGTTTATCAATTTGTTCATCGATTTTCTTTAGACGTCTTGAAAGAACTTGTAGAAAATGATCCCCGTCAAATAAATTTTTATATTAAAAGAAAAACAAGAAACAAAACGATATTTTGTATGCACCAATCTAATAATACAATTTTGTAGTTTTATATTTTGGAAGTGGTTGTTCCTCATATTCCAGACGCGTGCAACGGATACTTACGCGAAGAGGTGGAAAAGCTACCGGAAGAGAACGACCGACAACACAATTTATGAGACTGTCCCTCGATTCCTTCTCTGCCTTCCCTCGAAGCTCTTGAGACAGGGAATTCTCTGACGCGACGATTGAAATCCTTTGGAAATGCCTGGTACCTCTCGATGTCGATAGGTTACCAGTTTTAATCACTGCTGAGGATCCCCTTGGTAACTTCTTTGTTACATACTAATTAAGAAATTATCTTCAAATTGCCGACCAATCACAAAACGACGAAACTTTACCAAAGATCGGTCACAATCAGTGCTATCTCCCAATCTTAATTGAAGTAGAATAAAAGCAAACTGCCCTTTTGACGTATTCATCAACGATCCAGAAAAATTCTATAAGTTGAAGGTTGATCATTCGATGTCAAAGAAATTCGGAGTTATTACTTTTTGACCATTTGAATTCGCAAATTCTAACTAGTATCGTAATGAATATATAATAATTAAAATTTATTCGCTGATATGTGCATAAAATTTCTGAAAGTATTCTTTCATGCCTTTGGTAAATACGCTGTGAAGAAAATTGATTCTTGAGGTGGGCATTTCTATCGGAGCCGTGCTCTCGGTTTTCTAAAACTGCAACGCAAATGGACGTGCACGAGAGTGTATATGCGCCGATCGAACACCAGATGCAGTGATCGTGAAAGTTCTAGATCACCTTAGGATCACGACTGTTCGAGGTTCGCGCGTGTTCCAGGTATTTCAAAATCGATCGTACTCGTATTTATGAGAGCATCGCGATTTTATAGCCGACGTTTATGCAACCCCCATGAATCTCCTCGCATGTGCGTTACACCGGAAGACAAGACCGCCCCACGAGGTCTAGTTAAACCGAGCGTGACAAATAAAATATTCGTTTCGCCGACGTTTCTAATTCTCTTTTTCGATCACGCCCCATCGATCTCTCCTCCGTGTACCTCATTACACAGAGAATAAAGAGGTACCAGTAGTCCCTCGATTACTGATTGAATCGACTTGATCGACAATAAGATTGAATATCGAATAGTCTATGAGATCGTACGATAGATTAGAAATTAAACTTTTAGGTTTAATTTTTAAATTTGAACAAATAATTCCGCCATTCAATCGCGCGCGACAACATGTTAATGTTAATAGAATGAACCTTGGACAAAAAGAAGATAACAAATGTAGCAAGACATTCGATTTACGTGAGATAACCATTAAAGAACACTTACACATACTACTTACGGCTAATCAAGTACGAAGATATAATGCGAATATAACTCCATAACAATTCTTTCGTTTTAAGAAAAATTATTATAAAACTTCACTATAATAGCATTATATTTTCACAGTACGGAAATGTGGTGTTCTATATAATGTCTTTAATGATCGCTTTTCATTTTATTTTATTTTTATATCGGAAGTATCGCAGATTAAAAGAATTTATTGAATAATTACCTTTAAAACTACGTATACCATCATAATATAATTGAGAACATTTTTTTGAAAGGATTTATCATTCATCGAAATAAACACTTGCAGAAGTTATATAGAAGTCAGATAGAATAATTACTCATTAGAATAAACACTTTCTATCGAATTTTAAATGTAGTAAACTTTTTCTGCTACAGTTCTTGTCTTCGTCTCGATTCAATCGCGCCTTTATTTTAATCGCGCCCTTACGAAGTAATTAACTGCTTCAAATCAATAGTTATTTATGTATCACGGTGCATCACATTCTCGATTTGAATCTGAAATTCGTCTCGGCTTTCGCAAATTTCTATTGTAACAATTTTACTTGAACTTTTTGGAAAAGTACTAACGGAAAATAAACATTCTGCGTGCAATGTATGTATTTCAATTTTCCGTTTTGTTCTTGTAATGCCAGAACAAAATAGAACTGACTTTTGCAGCCACTATTCCTAATGGTCGTGAATCGACTTTTTGTTCAGAGATACAGACCTACGAAAATATTTCCCTCGCTAGTCACAGTATCCATAAACATTGCAGATAGAAAAGGTCTCTGTTCCATTATCTCCAAATTAATTCCAGATGGAGACTCCATTTTTCAATAATTTCACTGTCTGAACCGGTCGCTCTTAAATACAATGTTGCAATAAAAGTTTTTGAAGAAGGAAGAATCATGAGCGACATAAACATCAAAGAATATTCTTTTTAATCAGCGGAACCTGTTACCGCACCCATCGCCGCAGTTAAATCGCTTTTATCCTCTCCCTAGATATCCCACATTACGACACTTTGGTTCTTCCACTTCGACGCTACCTTTCTTTATCACTAGGACGTAATATTCTCAATATTAAAAAGTAAATTTCATTCGACGCATAGCTTTGCCCACGCATCCCAGAAAGAGCGTGCTGATAAAACGAAGTTGGTTTGATCGAACGACAGCTGTAAAGGGAACGGCAACAAGCGCGAGAGCTCGGTTCACAAAAGAAATCGTAGGTATAAGTGGATCATCATCGCTTCGTAATCTGGAACCTCTCGCGGAAACGGCTCGTAATACTTTTACACCCGACGATGTTCGTCGGCCTGGATTTTATTACAGCTGTAAAGAAGCGCGAGTGTCCGACTGCATTTCGCCCGCTTTTCACCAAACTTCCTCCGACACGCAGCCATCTCCAGAATACTTAATTAACGTTTTCCTCGTCGTTTCTCTTGCACAATATGCCATCAATGAACCTCAGTGAATTGCAGTAGTGAATGATCGTGTCGTTCTCGCCCGCAGCCCTCGAAACGAGACGCATATAAGTAAATTGTGAGGTTACGGAATATTTCACTGTCCCCTGAAAATTGAATGAGGAGACGCAGTTATTGCGAAATTGCGTAAAATCGTTTTATTCTGTGAATATCTTTTCTGGTGCTCGTGTCTTGTATGTCGTTTCTGAATGCTTACGAGACTAAGGGTAAAGTTGGAGTCCTTGTATCTGTTTCCTTCGGCAAAGATCATTATTTTAATATTGAGCAGGTGAGACGATTTTATTTATATCATTAGTTCCAAGGCTGTTCACGCCAGCTTCTTTCTCCGATTTGATTATATGAATAACAAGTGAAAAATTTTTATGATCGAAATATTTATCCCAAACTAGAGCACTGAAAAAAGTCTTTAAGGATGTAGATATGAACAAGAAAAGTTGAGAAACCATGATTCAAATTTATGAATTATTTTATAACTAGTGCCTATACCTGATGGACGCCATATTGTTAGCCTGGCTGGCCTATACTCGATGTTTCTAGTTAAAATGGCGTACATATAACTTGTTACAAGAAAATACTTTTTATGGAATTCGAATTAGTTTGTATTAAATTCAGACTAATATATGTATAAAAAAAAGCATCGAGGCACCGTCATTTGAGTAGAAATTATTCTTTCAACGATGGGATCAAGCATGTATTTGATAGAAGTAGTGCTCAATCTTTATTAATTATAAGAAACACAGAATGTTTATTACAAATAATTTATATTTGGCATAATTTTCTAATATGATGTTAACGAATTATTATTATGTGATATTTTTTTATCTTACCTTCATGTGCAAACAATTGCTCATTGTGTTCAATTCAGAGACCTGCTTTGGGTCTTCTGTTTGAAAAGTCAAAATAGAAGCATCAGTGAGATTAACTTTTTCTATTGGATTTGGCGTAGAATTAGTTTCATGACTACATATTGAGCTTGATATAACTATCATTATTTTTGAAATGCAAAAATACTACGGAACAGAAACTAATACCTTGTTCACAATATGCTCATTCCTCCCTGCGGAAATAGGCGTCCCGATTGGACCAAGTTCCACAGGAATTCTACAAGCGATCGAACAGAATGTGGCAACGAGTTCCAATCCGACAGACAAGTTCGAAAAAATCTTTTCACGATCGTTGAATCATAATTGGACATTTGCATCCCGGTCAGTAGCCATCGTTGGTGGAAAACTTGGCACGCAAGCGCCGGAGAGATTAAAAAGTCCCTTGGCCCGAAGCAAACCGACTTGTTTCTGAAATTTATGCGTCCCACGAAACTCGGGCCGGCAAGTTATAGCTCCGGCCCGATGCGAGCTTCGTCATCTCGCACGTCTTCAAAATATTTTCGCGAGACGAAGAAAGCGCGGATCAAGCCTGGCCGACTTCCGCTCGGACTTCCGAGCTCCCAAAGCCGACAACCGGCCATAACGACTACCGGGGCCGACAGAGACCCAACGATAACGACTTTTTAAGTGGGAAAACTTTTAACGCGCCTTTGGGAGCCTCCCATTCCTGTTCACCATATTATGCTTATACACCGGGATCAATAGCTATTCCAGAGTTATCGTCGCTTCATGAGAACTCGGTCTATTGACCGATATTTCATGACCCGGACCTTCTTCGAAATGTTTCGGCTTCTGTATGAAAGTTATGGAACCTTGAAATGCATTCACCCTATTGACACATGCGTATACTCGGTAGAAAAAGATCTGCGAACACGATTTAAAAACAAACAACTTTGTCGAACTTGTGTACCAAACGACTTCAGTTTTGTTGACATGTTAGAAGGCCTACTTTAGCAGACACTGAGCAACAAATTTTTGCAAATGTTACAATCGGTTGGAATGACAACAAAAAATTTTTTAAATGATGTTTTTTAACTTTTTTCTCTGAGCTTGCCTTTCCTCAGAAATGCTACAAATTAAAACGACTTCGAAAATATTGAAAAATTTTGTTCAGCGAATCTACCGAATCTACCTGAACCTGACTGAAAAATGCAATGATTACTCTTCAACTTCATGTACTTACGATGTGTTGCTGTTGCTTAGTGAGCTTTGAATGACATTTTACTATCACCTTTACAGCAATAAAAGATACACGAGAACTTTATACGACCAAATTTGCTCATCATTTCTCTTGCATAAAAAAGTGTCCCACGAAATGGGAGATCATTCGAATCTATGGTCGATTCTCTGACGACAAAATTTTTCTAATGTTTTCAGCAACGTTTGAACTTGTAGTATTTTCGAGAAGAAACTTCAGTCTTTACAAAACCATGAATTATTATCTTCAAACCCGTAGAAAAGTTCCTAAAATAATAGAAACAGAGCACTCACTTGATCGTGTCTCTTTTCAGGTGGAAATAAAGGGCATTTCCGGACCAATCGAATTCAAAGAAGGACGCAGGATTCAATTCAAGCTGGACCTATTGAAGCTGAAACAACACTCGCTTGTCAAGGTATGCTCATAACCAAAGTAGGGAAGCTCGTTTATTTTTCCCATTCTTAATTATTATTTATCCCATTTCTCTGTTATGGCTCATGTTAACCTAAACACATAAAAAAAGAATTATTAATTTCGTTGCTCAGTTTTATAAAGCACGGAAATTCGTGCAATTTCCATTGTAACGATGTCTTACATGTAACGTAGTTCGAAAGGTATGCAGATAAATGGGGACCTAGCTACCTTTAAGAGGTATTTTCACCTTGAAGAACCGAATTACGAGCCAAACAAAGATTTTTGCTTAACACTTCTCTTGAAACCCCCTACAAATCTAGATAGTTTCAAAGTAATCAGAATTTTCGGGTTGCCGATGACACGGTACTTTGGTCATTCGAAATTCGTTCTACAGCCGGATTGACAGCGTCGTCTACGTCGAAGGTAAGACTGAGGAACGTTCAGACATCGAGAGGGTCGTACAATATTTTCTCTTCAGCCTTCGAAGATTGTAAAATGCACACGTACCATAGTACTAGACGCTCTTTAGCTCAAAGTTTTAACTTTGACGTTGACAGCCGCGGTAAATGAAAAATGCCCACTTCCCTTAACACAGAGGATTGCGTAGGTGGGTGAATGGCGTCCAGGCGTCGGCGTAAACGTGACGGACACCGCGGCTTTCTTTGAACCAGGCACCGCGAACGTCACTCTGCTCGTGATCACGATCCTGGTGAGTACCTCTTGAAACTTCTGCTAGTTTGTTGGGAAAAAAACCAAAAAGAACCATCTAATCCGATGAAACGAGTGATACGACGAGCCACGCCGGCAACTGCTGTTCCTCGGCGACCCGTGGCGTCGACGCTCGAGTGGATCGTGAAAATACCAGCTCCGCGTTTTTTTTCCTCGGGCTCGCACGCACGATCAAGCCCGATGCACGGTAGCCTTTAACGATAGTACGTGCGCGAAGACGAAGCAACGGCGGGGAAGAATTTAACGAACTCTGGGATATAGTGACGACACGGTATCGGCGCGATTGACGCGATCGGAAATGTTCGCGAGCGAGGGTCGCGTTGAATGTACAATTCGAGCAGTTTCAGGCGCAACGAGACTGGTAATGCCTCAACCACGAGGACGGCCTCTGTCCGAGAGATCGGCACGGAGATTCTCGAGGCCGCAATACCCAGGCATTTGCGATCGCAGCAAGATATTTATAGGTACAGGCGTGCAGTAACAAACAGCGATTGCCACCACGCTGCAGAATCTCGTACTTTATGTCCGGTATCCGTTATACGTAACGCGCCATTCCGGCCGGGAATAGAAGTTAAAGAGGCATAAAACTTCACCGTATTCTACGGGATGACCGACTGCCTCGTGGCATTGTCGACCGAACGAGTCTCCTTTGTCCGCTCTGATAGAGCAACCCGACCCGACGAATCAGTCGTTCCTTGGCTATAGTCAGAAAACCGTATTAACTGGTCGGTCAAGGTCACTCCGACAGCCGTCGACCGTCGTTTCCAATTTCCTCGAGAAATTGGAACGTGTCTGTTACGGTTTCGAAACACGGAACCACGCGATCCTCAATTTCTTTTCTCGAGTTTACGAATTAGGAAAGAATTCTATTGCTCGGACGGTTCGAAGATCAAATTTTCTACATTTTCTTGTAGCTCGCGAGACTAAAAATATGTTCGAACGATATTTTAACCCTTTGCACCCGAATGTCCCATTTCGGAGAACACAGTAACGATACTGGTAATTATGCTACTTTCAACATTCTTTTTCTTTTTCTATTTGAATAAAGTAATTATTCTCAATGTTATATCATCTGACATTTTACTTGAACTGTTACTTACGTAATTATTTACTTCGCGAATATTCGAGCTGCTGGTAGATGATGGTGTGAATCTGATCTCCGAGTGCAAAGGGTTAATGAAGTGCACAAAACTGTAAGTATAAATTATAAAACATAAAGTACAAAGTATAAAAGGGTTATATAGTTATTTTCGAGTTTAATAGCCGAGGATAATTATCAAAATCGTATTCGCCGAACAGGATACCGTTTAAAGCTGCATAAGCTACTGTTGATTGAGAGCAAACGTGTAATTACATTTCGTTCGACGAAACAATTAGCAATGAATTAATCCCGGTAAATAAAGTAACCTCGCCAGACCTGCTTCATACTGTTTCGACTATAGCTACCAAGTGTAAGTATCCAAAATTATGAACATTAATCGGATTGAAAAAATGTGAAAATCCCGAAATTATCGAACTTAAAACTCTAAGGCATTTTGAATTGGGCAATTGAATGAACATCTCTATTTAAACTGATCTATGATTGTATTTGAATACTTACTATGTCGTGTGAAATTTTTTGAAAATATTATGTAAAATGTGACACAGTAAGTGACACAGTAAATGACATTCAGTTTAAAAGGCGTTAGATAAATTTCCAATTACCTTGAAAGTGAACGAAAAATTTTTTTATTTGTCACACTTTGCACCGCAAACTCGCGATCTCGACTCGAGCTAGAACGAGACTTTTACATTCGTACTCTCTCTCTCTCTCTTTCGAATATCCTGATAGGAGTATTCAATACAACAATCATGTGATTTATTTGCAAAACGATTATCGAAAGATCATCGACATTTCTCTCGTTTTGTGAAATCTGTCTTGAAGATTGTGTGAACGGAACGACGTGGCCGCGACATCGATGAATGGTCGGATTAACCCTCGGACTCCAAGTGCTCGAGAAGAGTTGACGAATGCCGGGTCACCCAACCTAGAATGTTATTATAGACACATCAATTTAAACATTTTTAAAAAGATAGGACAGAATTTTATATATATGATATAATTTTATATATGATAATTTTATATATATGATAATTTTGAAAAAAATTTTTTTTGGATATTGTTTAGGGAATTTCTTTCTTAGCCTATCAATTGATATGACGAAAGATCAATTTGGTTTGAAAACATTGTTGACACCCTTCTATTCTTCCCTCGAAGTATAGAAAATTTGAAATAAAATACAATTCTATCTTTTTCGAATAAAATAGGCAAATCTGAAAAAAAGACTGAAATTAAATAAAATTTTATTTTCTTTACGAATGCCCTCAGAAAATAAATAAATAGAAAATAAATTCAAACTTTATCCGACATTGTAAAATTGTACATTTCATTGATTTTGAGCGATTTTGATAGGTTTCGAATGTTTGAAATTCTCCGGCCTTGTTATCACACGACCAGTGAAAATACAGTACCGCCAGCGTTCTTTTATTTATCTCGACATCCCTCTGTTCTAATTGTTTCACGATCGATGTTTTGAATAAACACGATATGTATAGAATTTCCATTGTTAAATTTTAGTTAATTTGCGCACAAATAAAATAATGCAAATAGTACCATGCTTCCCTAGCGCAGAAATGATCATTTTTCCAACTATAGATTCATCGATATAAGAAATATTACTTTCATGCAAATATTCCATTGTAGAATTAAATGTAATTTATATATATATATAAGCACAAACGCGCGTAAGCATTGTTTTAAAGTTAATTCTTCAAATCAGGGATCGAAGTAAACAATTAATTTTCATTTTTAAATATTCCTGTTAAAAATTATTTATTTTTACGTCTTGTTTAATTTATATTTATAAAATGCTTACAGTAATCTGTTTCCATGGAAATATTTTAGAACTGTTGTTAGAGAAAGGTTCAGAAGGAAAACACTGACTTATCTGAGCAAATGTCACAAATAAATAACGCATTCAGAAATCGATTTAACATTGAGAATGAGATTTAACATTATTGGTACTATTCATGGATAAAAAAACCTATTCCTGTCACAGAAAAGTTTTTATTGTTACATTTTACAAATTCTACACAAACTAAAACTTCTTTGAATCTGTTTCCATTGTAACTTACAACGCTTCACTTTTTAATCAAAACTAATTTACGAAATTTAACAACTCTTTGAATTGCTGCTCAAAACTGCAACTATTTTTGCAGAAAAACCTCATTGTTTATAATTTCTTCAACAATTAGAATTAGACAGCGATCTTGTAACAGATACCTACTATTCAGAGCTGGCAAGAAGACGGCTGTAAACAATCCGGATAAGTTGGTCCCAGACGCCTTCCTGTTATCTCTGTGTGTGTGTGTGTGTGTATTCTACTCTCAAAGAGCTGAATACTCAACACTTCCCCTTAATTACCTCATCCATCATTGATTTGTATACTGCCCACACAACATCCTCATGCCTAAGGGTACATTTACGACATGAATTTTACATTGAAGTTGCGATAAACGATAAGACAATCGATGACAGCGGAGCGCAGATATGCATTTTATTGTTTTATATAAAGCAGTATGCAAAGAAACGCGTACATACTTTTCGTTATAACATATTCTCAAACTTGAAGATGATAATACTTCTCCAGAATCACTCGTCTTTGACAAACCTTCAATAACTAAAATTAGACTATTTGTGCAGCTCCGTTATAAATAAAAAGAATAAAGAAATTTTCGCAACTTTTTAAAGCGGTAAAAAATATTCTCTGATTGAAATCACATATTTATGCCCTATTAAAGAATAAAGAAATTTTCGCAACTTTTTAAAGCGGTAAAAAATATTCTCTGATTGAAATCACATATTTATGCCCTATTTTCGTATTTTTTACAATGGGGCTTGATATACGTGGTGTTACTAACACAGAATAAGTAATGTGTAAAATGTGATTATATAGCATAACTATTAAATATAAATGTTTGAAAAGCAATTAATAATTCATTACAATTAATTCAAATTAACTAATAACTAATTATGAACAAATTAACAATGCTCAAAAACTCATACTTTCACTTTATAAATATGTGCTCTGAACTTATGCAATGATCTTATATGTACTCTCATAATCGATGTTCCTGTAACTTCTATTGTAACAGTCTCACTGAAGAAACATCTAACAGAGCAGAAAAAAAGGCTTCCTTCAGAGGTGTGCGAGAGTCTAGGAATTCCCGAAACCCGATGCTTGGGACAGGACGAGAAAACCTATATCGGGCCGGAACGGGATAAAAACATTCAATTTTCCTATGCTATCAATTATTGCAAAATGATACATCGCCGTACTTAGTACACAATCGACTAGCGGAAAGCTGTTTTCAACAACTGAAGATATCGTTGCAATCGAAAGAACCAAGCTATTACATACTAACATACGTAGAGAAATTAGTTATTTTTACCCGAGAATTTAAACTCAGACTATACATTATAAGTTATTAAGTTAAATAAGATAGACAATTTTGCAATGCAAATTTCAGAAAAAAAATCTAAAACTAGGATATCAACGATTATATACGTATTTTAACGATCTTTTAACACGTTCTTATATCCCAGCATTTTAAACAATCCCGAACCGATCCCGAAAATCGTTCCTGTTCCCGCCCCGCCCCGTTCTCGCACACCTGTAGCTTCCTTTCCCCCTCTGTCCCGAACTATTTACAAAACCACTGAAGAATCTGTTACGACAAAAGGATCCGTTCGATCGGACAGGTCCAAGATGACCCGGCATTCGTTTGGTGAAGGTTGGCCGAGGACAGTCGACAGCCTCGTGTATCGTCCCGATCTGACGATATGTTCCGTTGTTTGCATGGGCATCGTGTTGACCATGGGCCACAGGAAATTCCGTACGTGATGATGCACTACGAAAAAAACTACACGGGGAACGCGCGGTTTTACGGGTTTTGCGTGGACCTACTGGAAGCGGTGGCGAGGGAGGTCGGCTTCTCTTACCGGTTGGAGCTGGTACCGGACAGGAAGTACGGCGCGAAAGACCCGGAAACCGGGGAATGGAACGGCATCGTCAGAGAACTCATGCGACATGTATGATTTGGTTTGTTTAATTTTTCTCATCGTACTTGGCCCAACCCTCTCGCTGTCATACACACGTACACACATGGTCGTCGTAGGTAACTCTCTAGAAATACTTTTCTACCACCTCTTCGCTGATTTTTCTAGACACTATTTTTATTAGATTTACTTTTAGACAGTGGTATATGTACACGTACATACAATGGATGTTTTTCTCCACATATTTTCAACACATACGCACCTTATGTTAAGCTAGACACTGAAGAAACGCCACACAATTTACAGTTTACGATGCACTTATAATTAGTTCATTTACAATTGATCGGAGACTGAGGACGATAGCAGAAGTAGAGGATAGATATTGTAGCACACCTGTGCACGAACATCAGTTTGAACCGTTTGGCTGCGGTCGTCGCATAAACGTAAACGCGAATCGAAGAATCATTGTTATGTTTATTTATGTATAACACAACTGGATAAAGGAACTGTTTGTTTAGTTACATCCTTTTAGGTGAGAACCATTACACACTGAAACATGGAGAGAGCGTATTTTCCATGCTGCTAGTGTTTTAATAGTTAATTTTAATTATTGGCTATTTAGATCGAGTCGAACAAGACGATTAATTGGTACGTAATTGGTACATTAGGATTTGAATGGATTTTGGAAGTCAAGGAAGACGACGTATACAGTAAATCCCCCTACTTGTGACGTTCAGTTTGTGCACGAAAGTGGACAATTTGGAAAGAGAAGATACGATTGTTAACTATAATATTTAACTACGAAAACGAGCCGCAAGGCTCGAACAATCGTATCTCCTCTTTCAGAATTGTCCATTTTTGTGCACAATCTGAGCGTCAATTAGGGAGAATTTACTAGAATTGGCCGCTCGGTAAATTTGCGTCCACCTCAAAAGTCTCGAGTCTCTTATTTGTCGAACGGCAACTCTGATTAAAACTTTAATTTCATAAACTTTTTAAAGACTTCTGTATGCTGTAAATATATGAAAATTCCTAATCTAATTGTAATATTCATGAGTTGTCTTGAGCAACTTTCATTTCATTAAACTTTTGCGCAAAAAGATCAAGAACAGTTGTTTTTTCGCGTGCTTGGATTCTTTGGGATATTCTGCTAAAAATATTAGGCTATTAGATTAAACGGAAAAGTCTATCCTTTTCATGAAGATGTGCGTTTTCCAAAAGAGTCGCAGTTTATTCTTATGTTTTTTAACGGTATCCAACAAATTCTCATATGAAATATGTCTCGCGAAACAATTCTGTTCTGACGTGAAAAAGATAAACCGTTCCGTAAAGAGGAAAATAGCTACATTTGCATTGCCTCGATTGAATGAAATCATACCATTTACATTCTCCTATAAAATTTGAGCTACGATCGTAATTATATTTATTAAAACCACGATCTGTCCCAATTGCAATCGTTTCTGTGTAACGTGAAATTGAACCGACAGCTGTCCGAACGCCGGTCGCCACTTTAATAGAATGATCGGGAAACGCACGGGATCGTGCTCGTCCGCAATCAAACGGTAAAGTACCCGTTTAGTTCCAGAACGAAACATCGAGTGCAATCAAGCTAGAGGACACTGAGAGAACAGCGTGTCTTGTTTTGTTCACGCTCCGCCTGTTCATGTCGGGGTTCGAGTTCTACTTGAACCTGTGCAACCGAACCGAACAATACTCCACGATCTTATCGAATCCCGAGAAAAGCACCCCTAGTCAGTGAGCAACCACCAGCCGCCAATTAGAACCGCGTTACCGTAGACATTGACCGCACCTCCACGATATATCCTTTCTACAATCGTGTTCGAATCACCAATCTGCCGGCTGTATGAATCCAGCAGACGTTCCGCCAACCTTGGAACTTCTACATCGCTGACTCGTTGTTTGCTCGGACCTGCCCTTCCCCCCTCCCGCATAATTTATTACAAATTTTTTTCATACAAATATGCGCAAGGAGAATAACTTTCAATGGTTTTCAACGCGACAATTTTTTCATGTTTTCGTTTTTAATCGAATACTCGGAGGTCTAAATTAACAATTTTTGATCGTCTGCAAATCGAACTTTTCGTGATCTTTTCGAAGGAGATACTTTCTGTCAGCAAAAACATGTTGAAACGAACGGTACAGTTTTCGATTGATAAAATTCAAACACCAATAGTAATGCTTTCAAATTATATAATATTATTATAATATTAACGTTTGAACAATGTTTCTAACACTAATTGGACCATCGCCAATCAAATGACCGATTCGACGATTCTTATTCTACAATTATTGAAATCATAAAGACACATCTACCGGAAACCATTCAATAAATTTATTCATCTCACAACATATATTAATATAAGAATTTAAAAAAAATCTAAACGAATTCAATGCTGTAATTTCTATGAGGCAACAGACGAGTCACTTTCAACGCCCGGTAAGGTTTTTGCTGTAATTTCTATGAGGCAACAGACGAGTCACTTTCAACGCCTGGTACGGTTTTTGCTAATATATATTCTTCCGAATGACTTCAAAAAGAGATGTAAATTTTCAAATTAGAGACGTCTTGTGCTTCAACAGTGACAGTAATACAATTCTAACTTGCATCGTAGTGTTATGTGAACTCCTGAATATATGGTGATATACATTAATATTACGTTATGAGTACAGAAATACGTATATTTGAATGATAATTAAAGTGACGATGACGCTTATAATGTGCCAATTTTTTGTGAATAGTTTTCAGTTTATTTAAAAAAAAATAAGCTGAACATTGAGGAAAAAATGTAATTATCTTTCGCGCAAAGAGCAATCCTCTGACAAACGAATGGCATTGAAAAAAATTAGGAAACATGATCCATTTTTAAAATACAAATAATTCTGCAAGATGCAACACGCTGAAAAATGATATGCTGGTAGCATATCATAGTAACATTACAATTTCTTGCCCTCGTTTTATTATTTGAAAAACGTTTTAAACCGCTAAACGTATACTTGACATACATTAAACATATAGTAAGTACACACTGCATACGAAGAGCATCTCCGACTATGCAACCTCCTCGTGGTGTACCTCAAGTTATTGTAGTACCAGCAACGCATTTTGTATGCACTGTACGATGAAACGGCAACAGGACTTTTGCATCAACTTTTCACAAGTTATTGTAAAGGGGAAACTTTTCACTGGGAAACCACTTTAGAATGAATCGTGGAACAAATCTTTTTAATCCTGTTGATTCATTTGAATTTCAACACGTTGTAGAATAAAAGCCAATTTCAATTTTCCATTTCTGTAACCATTACGAAAGGATCGTCGAAAAACTATAACTATCGTATTTTACAATCAGTTTGGGTAATTTATCGTACGATCTTTTTTTTCTGCGAGATTATATCAGTTCAATTTCAGACAAAAAGTAGTCTTTTTGAACGATAATAAAATACACGATTCTCGATTTTTGTTTTATCTTTCATTTTGAGAGTTTTCTGTAGCTTACCAAAGCCTGATCTAAAGGTGTACTTCAAAATTCATCGAATGCTGTTATGCAGTTTCGTTATTGTAAGATTTTTCCCGGTGTTAACCAAAGAGAACCACTGTACGACGAGTCGCGCCGCGAGTAGTCGAAGCTAAATCACGAACGCTGCGCGTTAATTGCTTGCGGGTATGCACTGCGTAACGAAGCCCATAAATCGAGCATGAACCATAGGATGCTAATTGGTCAGTGCGGCTCATCAGCAAGAAACGTCCGCGAACTTTCTCGTCACCTTGTTGTCGGCGCGCCGACCTGGCTTTTGACGTAGATCAGAAAAACTCGTACAGAATTGTTCAACATTTCGAACTGTTCGGAAATAATAGTAAGTATTTACAAGGCGAGCCATTTGTGGGCCAAATTACGTATTACACATGCTCGAATTTGGGTCGATACTTAAAAATGCAGCATTCCATTCGTACAATTAGAGATCATATTCTCATTTTTTCCATCTCATGGTATGAAAACATAGTGGCCAGTGAACTCTTTACTACGTTTATTTCTAACTCGTTACAATTTGTAATTTAGAGTTGGTAATTATGGCTGAAATAAGAAACAAATTTTTAATCATTACTGAGGGAAATAAGAAATATTTTCGTAGTATGAAATTCAATTACAAATTATGCTCGAAAATATGATTTCACCATTTTCAGTTACGAAGCTGGAAACCATTTAATGCGCTGCCGCATTTCAATGAATGGCGGAATTATAATTTAAAATGAAACGTCGGTACAGAATGCATTAAAAATTGGTGCCAAGCTTTCATTAAAATACCAGAATTCAACAGAAACCGAATGAACAGATTCAGTAGCAGCTGTGTGGATGGTATGATCACTACTGAATAATTTAATTTGATTTTCACTGAATGCTGGTTACCATAATTGATTGACGTTAAATTGAAATTTAAACGATTCCATCACCATGTCTCTTCATGCATCTTCTCGTTCGAGTTGTATGAATAAATACTTTATATGAATACAAGTATCAACTTTTTACGAGAAGAAGACATACCCGGTGCACTACGTAGTACAATGAACATTTACAATGAATAATAACTATTCAGTCGTAAATCTTTATGCATTTATGGCATTTCTAAATGTAGAATATAAAGAAGTGTATACATTAACAAAAGGTATTTGTATCTCCATTTTATCTTTACAACGTGAAATTTTCTACCTACTCGTATTAACACGTTCCGTGCCGAGCTTTTTTTACTCGAATCTTCACACTTTGATATTTTACTAAAACTTGATGTATTACGTGCAATTATTAATTCTCGTACACATAACAACGTAACAAAAACTTATCAACGCCCATTCTTGCGGTGGAAATTGATTCTTCGGTTCTAAATTTCTTGTAAACAATTTGTTCAGTTCACTAAGTAAACATGCAAGCGTGTACCATCGATGGTACACGTGGCACGGAACGTGTTAATGTCTAAAAACAATTTCTCGTGGGTTGCCGATAACATAGACGGCACATAATGAGCTAACAACAATCTTATAACATCTCGAAGTTCGTTAGTCTTTAGATTTAGAAATCGTTCATTGATTACTGGAAGCTTCATTAAATACCCACAATTAATTTCGATTGGAATCAATTTACGATTGGTCAACAATAATCATAAAAATTATTATTCATCATACTAGACACAATCTCTCTCTCTCTCCCTCTCTCTCACTCTCTCGTTTAGCTATTTCTTTCAATCTCCTCTCTCCTTTCTTTCTCTCTCTCGCTCTCGCGTTCTCTCTTTTCTTCCTCCTCTCTCTCCTTTCTCTCCTTCTCTCTCTCTCTCTCTCTTTCTCTCTCTCTCTCTCTCTCTCTCCATTATTTTCCTTCGATCCTTCCTCCATAATTTAATGCATTTAATGGTACCCGTCAGCAGCGACGATTAATTTTCAATTCCCGGTCTTCTGAAGATTGAACGCGCGGTCATGTCTAAATTGTTCTCCCATAAATTCCAGGGTGACTTATTCAGATAACCACAGGAATGTTTTATGTGATCTTTTGCATAATAAGTAATTCATTGGAATCTCCTAAACTTAATGTTAATTGTCAAGATTCGCTTTCTAATATGTAAATTTGTTAATACTTCATGCTGATTCTCGGAAAACAATATTCCACTTTCAAAATGGGTTGCACGTTTTCCTGATGTAAGTCTCATAGAGAAGTTATAAGGGATATTCGTTCGATGGATGATGATAAATGATTACTAGTACAGGAATGTACAAAACCTAAAAATTACAATTATAGAATGTATTATTTAATTTGTGGAAACATAACATATTTTTGCACATCACAATTCAAATAGAATGATTTTTGTTAACAACTGATAGATTTATACAACGCTCACTAACCTTTTTGGAAAATATGACTGAGCGCTCTTAGGATCTTTTGTAATTTCATTCATCAATTTCTTTTTACATATTTTTTAAGGTACATCTTCTGCACACGGTATTTTTTCAAGCTAAATATTCAAATAACAATATTTATATTCTGGGTCCATATAGGCCCAAACCTCACGGTTCGAGTGTTAAACAGCATTTTCATCTTTTCAGCTGCTTATTGGAATAAATAAGCGGTACTGGTATTAACATTTAACAGATCGTACTATTAAAATTGTAAGGAAATGAAACTGAATTGAAAACTTTTCGAAGTGTGACCTCTGCCATTGATCTAAAGCCACAGTGATAAAACACAATGTGTAGAACACAGTTGATGACCAGAAAAATAAAAAAAATACAGATGGATAATGCGGAAAATTTCGTGGTCATGAGGTATTTCGTTCCAGCCTCGTCTTCCATTTAACTACGCCGCATTCTTGCAGTTGTTCTCGTGTAGGCGCAGCTATTCACTGTCCTGGTTACCATGTCCTGAGGGAGCATTCGCTGTAATAGTCTATCGAACGGTAATCCATTTACCGGTAATCTGCATCGAGCGCCACCGAGTACGAGGCACATTCATTCCGCTCGTTCATGGGTTCGCATAGTTCGCGGTAATCATCGATCGAAGTCGAGACGCGATTGAAATCTGATATTAGATTGTCATCGTAACTTCTTTCTGTCTCTATTGTTTAACCCTTCGCCTGCAGCCAGTTTTGACGGGAGAAATTTTTATGGGATGTGCTTCGAATCATGTCAGTAACATAAATCTAAAAGGCTCCTCCCGTTTATGTTGTTAATTTTATTATATAGAACAAATTTATTATTATTATCGTAAAAACTCGATGAAAATAACATAGAATAGGATAAGTATAACTTGGCCATGAAATTCATATACAAATACACATGTATACACAAATATATAAAACTTATGTTTAGTCTGTCTTGAAAGAGCATCTTGGGGATATTTCTATAAAAATTTATTTTATTATTAATTAACGATGCAACATTGACAGTATTATTATTTCTCTTTAAACATATATGTAAATATATATGTCTTGTAAATACATCAATGTTGTGTGTAAAATATTTTAATTTTCTCATGTTATCTTGTTTTCCTATATGATATGAAAGTATTTTCATTATACAATAGAGAGAAAGTGTACCTAGTAATTCGTCTTTCTCTTAATTCGCCCTTTTATCGAAGTGCCTACAGTAGAGATCCTCTTATCCGAAGGTTTATTTTTGTTATATCCTGATACCAAAACATTCAATTATCTAAAAATTCCATTCAAGTTCTCTACTAGGTGATAATGTATCTAAATAATAAAATGATTAGATAATAGAACTTTTAGATGACAAAATATTGTAAAAATAAATGTTTAGATAAGGAAGTCTCTGCTGTATAAAGATAATTTTGAATTTTTTAAACCCAATCTATGACAGACCCTTCGTTTCTTAGACTTATAAACCGCTAACTTCGTAACACCAATTGAAGTTACAACGAAAGCGTTATAACGAAACCATGATCTGCTTCAAATGTAAATTTTAATAACGTTTTGCATGAAATAGTTTATTATATAAATGTATAATTATATCATTTTCCAAGTGATTGTATTTCACTAATATGACGTAACATAACGACGTTTCCACTTTCATAAATATTAGATGTCGCTTATATCATCCATGATATTCGGTTATTTTATTAATTGCTATTTGGACGGCAACAGTTTAATCAATACCACGGACTAATACAATTTCAATCATTTTTCTGCCTTCGTTATCTTTAATAATACAAAATATGTTACGAATACGAATGCTGTGCAATGGAAACGGTTGATTGAAACATAACAGAAACAATCGCTGGACTGCAGATTTCATACATATTTAAAAAAATCTGTATGCAAAACGAAAATTACTTGTAAGCACACTGCCCAAAAAAGTTATAGCATAGAAAAATTATCAATAAAAATTGACCGACTTCGACTTGGTAATTGTCAATTTGATGAACATGGACTCACATTTAAAGGATTACAATGGTAAGGGTGTATCAAATTTAAAATCAAGGAACATTATTTTAAAGTAGAGGTTTCAAGCTTTAATTTAAGAAAGAGTCATCATCTTACGATGATTTCTCGCGGAGTTATCGTCAATCAAAGTTGATGAATTTTTATCTAAAATTTTTCCATGCTATAATTTTTTTGAACAGTCTACGACCGCATAAAGAAACTAAAAATAGTACATTAATATTCTTACATACTTTTACTATTTATGTTCTCTTATTCACAACTTGTAAAAATTGTTAAAAACAAAACGCATTCCTATTTAAGTGTTGCTTTATGTTCTCTTATTCACAATTTGTAAAGATTGTTAAAAACAAAATGCATTCCTATTTAAGTGTTGCTTCGTCAGATCAACTCATAAAATTTTCATTTTATTCACAAAGATCGACAATTTCTCAGTAATCACTATTGTCCCTTTCAGCATAATAGTTTATTCAAATAACAAGTTTGCAATGCAGACCGATGAAAATACGTAAAACCTGCGCGAAAAAGAGATTAGCAAAGAAACTATCTGAATTTTGTGAACGAACACCGTTCTATAGAAATCTCTCAGGAGATCTTGCTTGCCGAACAGGGTTAAGAGCAAAAGCGCGTTCCGTTGTTCTGCAATCCGTCAATGCATGGTCACGGGGAAAACGATCGACTCGCGGGATCGCGAGACGATACACGAGGGGGAGTATCCATTCGTCTGCCGTGAGTTTCGCTGACAAACAAGAGATTCAAGGGAAACGGAAACAAAATTGGAATTTTGCCACTGACAAAATCTATTCGGCCGAATAAATCGTACATTCGTACTTAATAATTATTCATGAGAAATATTATCGATAATGGTAGAGGCGTCACACATAGGTAGACGTTAATGTAATAAGACTCAGTAGGTTTGTTTATTTCTTACGAAAGTCTGACAATTACTATCGTCATCTTCTTCGATATTATTGGATTGTTGAGAAAGTAGTTTCGGTTTTTCTTTCGTAATCTATTTATATAGAAAACCAAAATTACTTTCGCAACAACCTAATATGTATTAAGAATTACTCGAATATATTGTCACATGATTTAACAATTATTTATCATTTTCATATACAGGTGAAAAATATGTTTATTTATATTTAGTAAAATGATTAAAGCATTTGTTATATCGTTAATATTTTTGTAAAATGTAGACGCTTCTTTTCACTTTATTCCTGCAGTGCATTTTTGTCTACCGCTCATGTACGATTTTATAGCAGTCTCTAAAAAAATCAGTAGACATAATGCAATATTCTATTTCGAATAGAACCGCAAATTTCTACAGCAATTGCAGATAGAATTTAGGGTAGAACACTTGCTACCTGTGCCACCAACAAGAATATCACGTGTTCCGTCCCGGAAAATGAAACCTGCGAGAACCTAATTTGTTTCTAGCCAGGGAGTAGGTGTGGGCGTGGCGGAGTTAAGTTGAAGAGAAAGAAAATCTTGAGAACGTTGTACGATAAAGCACATATACGTAGAAGGTAAATCCTAGGGAGAATGGGAGAAGATCCAGGAAAATAGAGTGTACAGACCGTGGACGCAGGAAGGATGTTCTTCTAATAAAAAAAATAATCTCGAGCAGCATAAAAAGCTTAATGAGAAGCTGAATCGGAAGGTGGAGAGTGTAAGAGAGAGCGCGAAAGAGAGGGGAGGTAGAAAAATTGTGGAAAATGGGTGGTAAAGCGATAAAAAAATGAGTAGAATACGGTGGAGGCAAAGAGTGTTTCGTAGGGGTGGCCGGAAATAAAAAGATATGTAGAAAGGATCGGAGTAAAGGAGAGGGAGAAGAAGAGGAAGGGATGGAGGACGAAAGGTAGTAGTTCCTTTTTATGGTCCCCGTAGGAGCAGCCGTACGTAATGCTGAAGAGCAGAGGGAATTTCAGCGGGAATGCACGTTACGAGGGCTTCTGCATCGACCTACTCAAGGAGATAGCTCACATGGTGGGCTTCGCGTACAGGATCGAGCTCGTGCCGGATGGCAAGTACGGCGTTTACGATTACGAGACCGGCGAGTGGAACGGAATAGTCCGCCAGCTGATGGACAAGGTGAGTATGCGCCTATTCGCCCGAGTGTCCAACCCGCGCGGAGTTATCTCTGTTTGCGCGGCGCGCGATCTTTCGCGCGAGGCTTGCGACGCCCTGTAAGTATCCCAAACACTTTAACAGTCGGAACAAGTATTGTATCTCGAGCGTCACGAGACGGCGAGCACGGGGTTCTGCTGATAAAATGAGTCCAACAGATGCTAGGAATTATGGTCGGCCGGCTTCGCCTGGAATACCAACTCCTGGAGAGACTGTTTAAATTGCGATTGTCCACTTTAGAGTTGTTTCGTTGCGATCCAGCGACCATCGATCCGACGCACAGTGGTCGGTTTCCATACAAAAAGCGGAAAAGAAACATATAACAACTATATATATATATATATATATATATATAAAATTATATATTTAAGCCTTACTTTCTCAGTTTATATTACTGGTACATATATATTTGGGTTTTTGCTGGGATAGAATAATGAAAACAAAATGCAATGTTTTAATTGTTTATAAACAAATTTTTTTAAAATACAACTTTTGTTTTCAATTTAATTTAATTCAATTGAACATCCTCTCCATTTTCATGTTACGAACATTGTTCCGAAATCAGTAGTTCGATTGTCTCTTTGAGAAATGATTCCGATTTCTTGATCGTCCTCATACTCGACACGAACGGATCGGATGTAAGCAAAAGTTTGCATATAATCCGAAACAAATAATTTATAATTATTCTCATTAGTTTCAATAGAGTGCAACAGTTTAAATATTGATATTTTACTCGACCTATTCAATACATCTCGCGTAACTCTGCAGTTCATACATATTACGGTATGCTTCGTGGCACGTGCTATTGTGGTATTATTATTAAACGATTTCACCAATAGCAGCTAATAGCAGCCAATTTTTATTTTATTGTTAATGTAAGGCGTCAATCTTCAAAATGCGATCAAAGCGAACACAGAACTTTACTGAACTCACAATTAAAAAATGAAATGAAAATTCAACATATTCAATTGAACGTAACTCAAGAAAATGTGACAGATAAAAAAAGTGTCCAGTGACATAATTTAAGTACATACTACGGCTACTTTGAAGCCATGTAGCCGTATTCAAAATGAACAAATGGTAAAAAAGGTCACAGTAAATAATAAGTCACGTGTTTCATTGACTACTAGTGGATAAATTATGCATTATGGGGATATTTTTGAAAACTGACATTTTTCCGCTTTTTGTATAGAAAATGGACACTGTGCGACGGCTCCACAATTTGTTTAGGAACGCGGAATCAGTATATTGAAGCGCTAAATAGCAGCTCTCTTGAATGAAACGCACAGTGGAGTATTCGGCCTCAAAAGCTGGTCTGATCCATTCTATTCGTTTCTAGGAGAACAAAAGCACTTCAGAATAAAATCATACCATTAATTACTACAATTTCACGAAAACATGCACAGAATACAAAATTTACAAATGAATTAGTCTCATTCTGCATCGAACTCATCTATTTCTGAGTCTGGTCCTATCTCTATCTGTCTCGCATTCCTCGTTTAACCCAATTAAAAACGATTAGAAATTCTTATAGGCACAAATTTTCTATCATAAACAAAAGATCGTATTGATTCTAATGGCATCGGAACAAGAACCGGAACTCATTTGGAAATATAATAAAATTGTGTATATGAATTCTTTGAAATACAATGTGCTCCATTGAATTATTCGTAATTTGTTAATATCACTAATCACAGAAGCGCAATAATCTAATTTACCACTTACCTAAAAGAACTCTGTAAATAAAGACGTTGACCCGATTTCTTTGCATCGTATAAAAATGATTAATGAGTGAACAGTAATTCAAGAACTATAATAAAAAATATAAATTATAAGAGAAGAGATTGGAATACTGTTTCTTCTGCATTCAACTATCTCAGAAAGCTAAAATTGTATATTTTACGGAAGATTTTTTTAATCGACTTTTGCTCAGTTTTTTGGGGTGAAGTGCACCACTTTACGTCGGGCGTTCTTACGATGCGATTTTTAATAATATTTCAAACAGAAACAGAGAAATAAAAGCTTTACAAACGTACTTCCAGTTTCGTACACTTACATTTATGCTTATGTATACGTTGATTCCACTACGACAAAATGAATGTAAGACTACATCAGAGTTTTGTCATCGATAATCGGTTTTCATTTTACGGTTTTATTGCAGTGTGACTCAATAAACGACTAGTGAATATAAGTTCGGAAACTATTCAGAAAGAGACGCAAAATAGTTATTTTATAATTATTGTTTCTATACCAATTACTATTATGCAATATAGCCGACTTTAGACGTTATAAGCATTAGAGGTTGTTTCGAAACCATGATACAAACTAAAACTGGATGTACAATGAGAATGATATAAATTAAGAAACTCATATTCTTGCATACATACTTATATTAATACAAACATATTTGTTTGTGTCATCTTTGACTATTTTTGGAATTAACATAGAATACGTAATGTATCTTGTCAGGGTTTAGCAGTTGTAAAGTGAAAATTTAGCGCGTTTGAAAAATGGAAAAAATAAACGTTTGCTACTAATATATTCAAAGTTAGAAACCGTACGTGCATACATAAAAAGAATACGTGAAAACAGCTGGATACAATTGGTTACTCTTTTTGATGCGTCGTCAGCTAGCTCGTGGCAGTTTCGTTTCATACTCTTTCATATAACGATCACCGTAAAAAATATACTTGAAGCCAAGATCCTCGAGAGATCTCGAGGCTGTATACCAAAGTCTTGTATCCCCACGAATAATATAAAGAGAAAACCGAACAACTGAACATGAATGAAAAAAAAAACAGCAGAAACGTGCAAGTACATTTTATTGCGTACTGGCTAGCCCCACGCAGAATTTGGATTCAGGAGAGCAAGTTTCTCATGCCGATAACGAAGACACGGGTGTTACAATGGATACTAGGCAGGTTTGCAATGCAAATCACGAGCTAGCGCAGCGGAACGCGTGGAAATGCACCGTTCTCCTCCCTAACTAGGAAGCGCGAAACCACCCTTGCTTTGGCATAGCTTTAGCTGTCAACCATGTCCCACGTAACAGCTAATACGCGCATAGTCGATTGATGAAGTGCGAGCTTAAGTCGTGGATTCCGGGATACCGGGATCGAATATTCTAATGGAGTTACTAAATTAGTGTAATTAACGCCGTTACAACTCGATTATAGCCAATAGTCCATGTGATAGCTCTAGAAGAAAAGGGATTACGATTCGGTTCGGTAGTTGAATGTAAATGAAAAGTGATTACTAGACGGCGGATGTTAAAGCACTCGTAATGTACTTGTGCAAAACGATTAAATAAGTGTTACAACGATGTAGCGTTATATCGTTATTCTAAATATTGTGAAAGTCACATACCTGATTGTTTATCCCGAATTCTTTGTTTAGGTATGCATTTGCAAATATTCAAGAAAATAGAATTTGAATGTAAAGTACATAAAAGGGTTATTTTCTCGTGTACTTTTTAAACCAATTAAAATTGCTATTTAGACCAATCCTCTAGTTCTAATAGTTCCAGAGATATTCGATCTCTTAAATATAACCGATAACTTCTAACACGAAATATTTGCGTAATATTTTTGCAGCAAGTACATCCTCCTGAAGTTTCATTAAAGTCGGATGATGTCGCTTCGAGATATTTCCTTGTTATAAGAAAAAGGAACGAACTCGCCATTTTTATTTATCTTGATTTTATGCGTCTTCCTTGCGATTTTAAAATCTCCACGTGAAATGATAATCGATTCGTTCTTAATAATTTCTAGAAAATTTCCCTCGCCCTCCGCATCGTCTTCCTAAATCATGAATTTATAATGCCACCGAAGAAACCTTATGAACGCTGAAGTAATTCCTTCTCGGAAGAAAACATTAAAAATTTGCAATTTTAACGGAGATTATTTGTGTTTATGCGAACAAACACGTGAAATGAATTCCTCGCGTCGCGTTAGACGCGAGATCTTTAATGGATGTGGTAGAATACGTTGACGGTTAACCACACTGTCAACTGTCCATTACTGAAAGTAGAAGCAACAAATTATTCCATTATCGATTTAGTATCAATTTAGACGGCAGTTGTAAATCAAGCCGAAATTGCCGCAGCACGAATTCGCGTTATGTCGAGGATGTTGCGTCAGGTATTATGGCATTTATTGAGCCGACTTGTCGATGAAGACCGATGACACGGCGTGACGAGCCGTTAATATCGACTCGAAGTTATGCTGATCAGTAATTTCATTGATTGACGATTTTGGATCCATAAGCGTTTCTTTCTCTTTCTTAAATAGAATCAACAAATATTTGTCAAAAGTATTCATTACGTTCATTACCACTGTCACACATGTGTAATGTCCACAGTCTTGTGGTTTACAAACAGTAGACAAATTAATTTTATTATACGTTAGTTATTTAGTTTCTTTGCTAAATTCTTTCATTATTTCGAATGCTTTTAATAAAGATACATAGAATTCTTTTAATAAAGATACATAGTATTTAAGAAATTATTTTAACAATGAGGGTAGACAATGAAACAATTCGTAGTAGCGAATGTGTTAAATACAGATATCCAACATGTAAAGAAAATTGGATAGAGTCGTTCATGTATCGAAAGAGAACATCTTTCATTCCGAAGATATTCAAACTACCATTTTCTTCTCCTTCTTTTTCCCTTGCTTTATCCATTTGTAGGTGTGATAAAACAAGAGATTGTGGACTTTAGCTTACAGCGAGTTTTAGACCAGAAACAATATGAAGTTAACACGCGTCGTAAGCATCGTGGATGTTTCACTGTCTCGCTTCCGCGACAAATAAATGTTTACGACGTGGATCCGCGTCAAGCCGCTCCGCACAAAGGTTACAAATGATGCGGATCCGCGTCAACCACAGCGAACGTGTTAACAGAGTAAAAGATAAAAATGAATCACTGTGTTATAACCCAGTAAATAAAATGCGTGTCACTACATTCGATCAACATTTGTATATTAAATCAGAGACTTGAGTAAATACCTCAGAATTATGTCAGATTTTTGTACAGCCTGGAATAATACAAAATACAAATCTATTATATTTTTCGTTAAAAGATTGCGTTAGTAAATAATCGTATCGTCGGCGGAGGGTTACGGAAATGTTAAAATTGCTTAATGTTAACAAAAAATGAAAGCTAATTTAAATTCGTAGCAGACGTTAATAATGAGAAGTTGCATAAGCATCCACAGTCTAGTTATCACTAACATTAGTACCTCGATTATGCAAACCTGCGAATCTGAATCCGAACCTGTTTCGCAGGCGAACAATTCAGTAAAAAACAATCCACAGCACGATTCATTGCGCAAATCAACCAGCATTTAATCTAGCACTTTCACTAAGTAACTATTATCCTAACAGTCATGCTTCCTAATTGGTTCGGATGATAAGTGTTCTACTCTATACAGTTCTTTATTTTCTCGCGAAATCTAGACAAGATTCATGTAGTTACGAACAAAAGATTTCAGAGAGATGTCGGTAAGACGTCGCACAGTGGGGCATTTACCCCAAAAACACGAAATAAAGTCATTTAGTAGTCATTTATAAATTTAATAATCCTAAATTTAATAAAGTTAATCGAACATATGGTTATTTTACTATGATTTCTTTGTACCTCCTGTTCACTTTGGAGATGACTACACAGCTTGAAAGTGGCCTATCTCCAAATCACATGAAACTGTTCATATTATTGGTAATTATTTCATTTATTTTAATTAAGTGATGAGAGACATAATTTGATGCACTAAGTATGTACTTAAATTATGCCAGAGCACACTTTTCTATTGCCCACATTTTTTTAGTTGTATCTAATAAAATATGTTCAATTTTTACTTCGTTTTTTAATTATGGGTGCCGCGAGGTGCAGTGCTCGTTTTGGTCACATTTTAAAGGTAGGGTCGTACCTTCCTTCAAAAAAAAAGAATTGGCTACTAAATGCTATTGGAGTAGTTAGAAGGATCGATGTAATTATTGACGCCCCCGATGTAATTATTGAGTACCGTTCGAAATTGCAAAGCAGTGCTGGAAATATTTTATAATTTTTTAATAATTTGCTGTACATTAGTTGCTAATTCATTGTTCATGAGTTATTGATTGGTATAATACTTGGATATTCAACATAGCATGTATTTTATAATTATATTTTTGATCATAAGTGTTGTTAAAAAATAGATATAATGTCTTATCATTATATATCAAAAAGTTGGACATAAATATATGATTTCAGTCAGAACATATCTTTCATCGCGTTTTCAGGGTAAAATCCCCCCCTGTACGACGTTCGGTCATCGTTCGAATGCGAGAGCCGAGTGTAGAGGAGCTATCTGGAGGAAAACCGCGGTTCAAATGAAATTCCTATTAACGACAAATTCGCGGAAGAAGGAGGAGGGAGAAAGGTTTGAAGCAGTCACGAAACGAAAGGGTGGACGAGTTCTTTCAACTCCCCTTATCGGTCGTGGCCACATGTACGGTTTCCAAGCAGAAGCAACTAGAAATAAATCTGACTAGGCTGTGGTTGCACGAGTGCTATGCCCCTCGGCGCGGTCAGTGCTTCCCGTACCCCAGACGCTGAAAAAGAAGTTGAATAACGTACCCCAACTACTTATGCCATCTTATATAGGTCGTGAAGACCTGTTTTGCAGTGGTTCGTCGATTCTTCTCCTTTTCGTGGCCGAGTACAGTAAATTCTCCCTAATTGACGCTCAGTTTGTACACAAAAGTGGACAATTTGGAAAGAGGAGATTCGACTATTCAAGCCTTGCGGCTCGTTTTTATAGTTACCGATTCTCAACAACTACATATAGAAACGAGCCGCAAGGCTCAAATAATTGTACCTCCTCTTTCCAAATTCTCCATTTTTGTGTATAAGCTGAGCATCGATTAGGGAGAATTTACTGTATATCGCGGCAGGTTCGCCCAAACCCCTTTGATCACCGAAACAGGATTCAAGCTCGAACTTATTGACCATTAGCCTCACTGAATTCTTTTAAGAGAGTTTATTCTACAAAACTTATTAGAATACAGTAAATAAACTGATTGATGGAAGGATTCGGAAAGTCGAACGATAGATTCGATTTTGAATTAGCAGCGGTTTATGGATGATAGCGAGTCTAAAATTATTCGGTTGCTGACTGTGCCGCGAAGAGAACAACTCGAGCGAATATTAGCGTCAGGTATCTATTACTAAAGTAGCTTCTCTTGGTTGAATGGAAACACTATTTTATGATCTAGATTAGACTTTAATACGTTGATTGATGTGAGGCTTTCGTGAAGACAGCACTCTTTCTACAACATCATTGTTGTTCTCTAAACACAATTTCCAAAATGCAACAGTGAACGTATTAATAGTTCAAGTATAGTCTAAACATTAATTTACCAATTTATTAAAATATCGTTTTAGCCGACACATAGCATTCTACGGAATAGCAATCTAGAATAGCGATAGAGTCCCACATTACGTAGCACTGCTTTTTTACACATCACCCACTCGAACACATGAAGCAGACAGGTAGGAAATACAGTTAGACATTCACACGTTTCCAGTGATTTCCGATCGAACATGTCTACTGTAATGTGTTTAACCATGCTTTTTAGATTATTCAATATTTCCGTGACGATCGGCTTTATCCTGGGTCGCATACCTACGTTCACGTGTTCGATCGGAAATCGTTCGCAAACATACGACAAAAATATACGTGGCCTGGCTATACATGCTCCGCCGTTTCCAAATACTAATCGAAGCAATCTATCTTTATTCACAGAAAGCAGATCTGGCGGTCGGTTCGATGACCATCAATTACGCTCGCGAGAGCGTGATCGACTTCACGAAGCCATTCATGAACCTCGGTATTTCGATCCTTTTCAAGGTAAGAAACAGAAATAAAGGCCCGCCGGAAATTTCACCCTTGCCAGCGTGAATCTGCCTGATCGACGGCAGGGCAATTATCCACGCGGAAAGATGAGAAATCCGGTCAGCGTCTAAGAGAATCCTCGAGCTGAACAAAGTGCCCATTTAATCCAAGCCCGAATTTATGATCCTCGACGTTTCAGGATTTCTAATCTCACTTGTCTCGCGCTTGCACGGAGAATAGTTGCCATTAGTTACCCACGATAATTGGGTGACGGAATTATTTGGTCAAAGTTGAAAGTCAATATTTACGCTGGTGGCTTCATCAAATCTTCAAATATCCAGAGGTTTTAGAATTTTACACTGCTATATTGTTTCATAGTCTAAGAAAAGTATATTACTGCCTAAGCCATAACCAAAATTCTAGTTCCTTTCATTATATTTTCTCATCAGTCTATTAATTTATGTAGAGTCAGTTTTACACATCCTAACTGTTTCTTTATATTCCAACTATTAACAGGTATTCTCATGACATATGCACATTTTTGAATTTTTAAGTTAGATAAGTTTGTTAAATAAAGCATACAAAATTTTGTTGAAGAACTGCAATTGGATGGAATGAAAACAAATTTTTAAATCCATCTAAATGCTATTTTTGCAAAAATTTCTTTACACATTGTCGATTTTTGTACAAACTGGTCCTTCTAACATCTCAAACAAATTCAATTCGTTAAGTCCAATTTCAAAAAAGTTATTCCGCTTTAATAGGTGTCCGAGTGTCCACGTATACAATTTGTCCACGACTGTAGATGGAAAGTAATATGTTTCACTCCGCTAGTTTATGTTAAAACTGTCTCTACCGCGTCCCTGTATTGATCCAAGCTAACTTTAACATAGTGTTTTGAGTCTCTATTTTTTATCACTATTCTACAAAGAATCTTAAAAATTAAGGAAATATTTTTTATTTAATTTTACTTCTACGAAATTTGTGGACTGCCTTTATAAATATCAAGTCATTTTACGTCATAAGTAATATGAACTTCCTTGTAGCGTTTTGTAAGTGAAATACGTCTTTGTAGGTGTTAAGTCTTTTATATTCAATTCAATGGGCCATAAAAAGTGAGGGGCAAGATATAAATTGTTCTAATTATATCTTTCGTATTTTATCTTCCAAAAGTATATGGAAAGAAATTCCTACGAATTACGGAACGATTTGATTCGGAGCAATTTCTTGAAATATATATTTTCACAATTAAAAATAGATTAAAACCAGAGTGAGAAAAACTTTTGCGCAGTGTTATTATATCTGTTACATTAACGCAGCAGTCTCTAAGACCGCGTGTCTATAATTATGAGATGAAATTACATTTTTTCTAAGCGTTGCCCGTATTAGATACATTTACATTATTCAGTAATTTGCGCAGTAAAGATTTCACTGAATTATCTCAGATACCATGTTCGTTTAATTCGAACTTTTTGGGACTCCAAAAATGACGGTCCTACAGTTCTTTTTACGAGAATCCATTGTCGTCTCGGGGCTCCGAGTTTTTATTTAATTTTAAAGAACTCGTCTCATATAGCTGAATTTCAATTTCATCACGATGGTCCAAGTTTTCTTACAAGGATTTGCTGATCCGAGACTCGGGCTCTTTTTACTTAATTTAGCAGAATTTAAAGTTAAGCTTCCCAGCATTTTATATAATTCCGTTTCTCGGATTTCTTTACAACTCTCTACATTCTTTATATTTAATTCAAATACTGAGTTTCTTATTGAAATTGAAATTTCTCAAACTGTTGATATATTATTACCAACTAATTATGATTATGCACAATGATCCATGATGTAGTGATTAGATTAAATATCCAAATTAAGAAATTGCTAAAATCATAAAATCTTCTCAAGTTTCTATTAAGATAGTACTTTCACAGTATAAAACAGGTCGCGAAACTTTTTCTTCACAAGCAGTCGACAAATTCGGAAGAATTTTTCTAAATCTTCGAATCTTTGAAGATTGTACCACTAACATTAAAATAAAAGGATTTCCTGTAAAACTACTAATTGCAGATCAAATGCTCGAAAATTATGTTGCACCTCGTTCCATTCTCGTTAATTACGATCGCCTCGCTATCGTTACATTTTTTTCCAATTTAAGTCCTCTTCGATCAAAGTAAAATATAAATTTCATTTCCCGATGTTCTTGAAGAGTGCAATGAAACGTACCAATTCATCGTAGCGTGATCTAGAATCCAGAACAATCAGATAATATTAAATCTCCAATACTTTTGCAAGTTCAACGGGGAGCCGTTTCATTTATGCTCGTCGTGAACCTCCGGCGATATTCCTTTATTCGGAAAGATCGAGTAGATTGACAAGAGAATGTTGTTGCAGGGTAACTACTCGCGCAAGAATAACAGCGACCAGCTATAATGAGGAGAGGATTGAGAGGCGGAGACAAACGGCCGTGTTGGATCCTAAATAAAATTTTGTAGACGCTCGTGCTTCTCAGGGTTTCAGCTTCGTTTCCGCGTTTCGCCTCCTATTTGCGCCGGGTATCGATAGAAAACTCAATCGGGCGTTTCGTTCGGCCAAATTTACGAGACGACTGTGCCAGTTCCACTTTTGCCTCGTTTCTCTCCGCTTCCCGTTTCTCCGTCTCCACGTTTCCTACGATTTTTTACGGGAATAAAGAACGAGCGCGCGATCTTTCCTGAATCTATCATCGAAACGAGCTCGGCAACCTAAACAAAAAAACAATAGACGATGACTGATTATGCGGCAGTCGCAGTTCCAAGAATACTTTGTTGGATCGCGATCTAGGGTACAGATTCGCGATATGGAACATTGAATCTCAAAAGCTTGCCAAAAGCAAAGGAAATTCTTTTTATGCAACTTATGCCGGAGAGCGACGATCATACTTGTATATTTCCGCTTTGAAAAGTATGGTTATCACACTTTAGAACTTTTACTTAATTGGTGTACCTCGAATAGCTCCATTATTGTTAAAAATCTGTCATAGAAAACATGATTTCAAAATGTAGTTGAATTAAACATTACTTGATACATTTTTCTCTCTAATAATTATTTCATTAATTGCGTCTATTTACTTTTATTTCTTAAAGATTTCTATTCAAGATGAAATTAAAATCTTGATATCGAAGCTCGTTATATTATTGGTCCCCTAATCTTGACTGTAAATTTTATGTTTATACAAATTTGAGGTCCTATTCGAAGAACATTTATGACTTTGAAATTTACAGAAAGAAAATCATATGCATAAAGGAAACCATCCTTTTCTTTAACATCGTTCTTTATTATCAGAATCAAGTATAGTATTTCAGGCGCTCGAGTTTTGTGAAATACCTTATATGTTATTATTAACAAAATATCAATCGATATGAATTTTTTTCACAGTTTTAATACTTTTTGTACAAGGTTTAATCATTTTCGATCTCACATGTATGTTGCTATTTGTAAATATTTATTAAAAAATGCATCGTGTGTCGAGACTAACCGTGGTCTCCGCGAATTTAATCATATCAAATATATCATTCTGCCGCGATGATTTTGATTTTGTGATATCGTATAGACATAATGGTACATTTTTACGCACAATAAAACAGCAATTAAACTGATCCAGCTTTCTCTCTCAACATGGTAATTAATCATTCACTCGGGGTTTATATCAATCTCGTAGCTCCTCGCGATCCCATCTCGTCATCATTTCCACGGAATTAATTAATAGTTCGTTTATAACGCTCTGCAAGCACAGCAACGAAAAGCTATGATATCGCATCACTTGAAAGCAGCACAGTCGATTATTTATTAGCAGCATGCAAACATTTCTTATTTTAAACAATTTGAATTACTAATAAGTAAAGGCTTATAATTGTGTGCAACGATGCACAAAATTGGATTTTCGAGAGCAATAGATTTACGTTATTATTATGTATCCAAGGAAAAATGCAAAAGTCGTCGTATATGAAAAATAAAACGCTTTGGTAATAAAATTAAGAGTGCAGAGGTTAGGTTCACCTAAGGCGATTGCTATAAAAACTGATTTCTCAAAAACAAAAGAAACCTATGAATATTTGAGAAGACGGCAAGGCAATATACTTTTTGATTTCAAAAAACGTTTTCTGTATTTCAAGCTTTCCTTCATTTTATCGTGGATTTCGGACCTGGATGTTCTCGTGAATTACACTCTGAAGTCGTAGGAAGGCAAACGCAAGGAAACGAACGCAGACAATTCTTTCAAAGTTTTAAACGATTCTCATGGGTCGAGGGTCTTCTCAACATCTGGGCCAGCAATTAGTGTCAACCAGCGAACTCTCTAATTAGTGTAATGCTACCGCTTAATTGCAATCCGTGTTGCCACTGTCTTCGGTCCAACCATCCTTTAATTATTCGATGTCGTAATTGATCAACCATCCGGTAGGATGCGGTACACCTGTCGTCTTCGTATTAAAGCTCTCGGAGAACCGCTGTATAGAACGATCGGAGAATATCTCATATTTGTGATATTAGCATACTCGATATTTTTTCTTTTTTCATACATAAACGTGACACATGAATCTTCCTTACATTTGATAGAATCAGGTTTACTCATGCTGCATAGAAGAAACAAGAAGATAGAGCGCATCTGGGTTACCTTCAAATCACCAATTATTATTATTAAGTTATTTCACCGACAATGTTTTCATCAACATGATTTTTCCGATACCGCATTTCGCCGGCATTGTTTATATACCGACATATTGCAGCACGTTGGCTGCATAATGCAATTAAATTAATTAGTAATTATTAAGTACAAATAATCATATGTTCATCAGAAGAATCTGAATTTAATGCTTTAACGATAAGTCAAAACACAAGCACACGCGTCTGATATGTTCCTAGTTGAAAATGGCAACCGCGGGAGAACGAGACGTGATGAAACTCAGGAGGCGTCGTTTGTTTTTAATCGACCAAGCTCGAGTCCCACGTATTCAATATGGCGGCTCAGTAAGGCCTATAGGGCCAATAGGAAGAAATCATTTCTGCCAGTAAGGGAAACGCGTTTATCCCCTACTTCTGCGAGAGCGTTAACATGAGTGGGTTGGTGGAAATCGGTTCTACACTTTTCTCAGCGGACTTCTTCTGAACAACGGGCAATACATCGACTCACGTTTTACCGCAAATGCACTATAATTGACATTTAGAACTCTTGATAATATTGGACCCGTTGAAATCACCGACAGTTATTTCACCGGCAATCATTTCACCGTCACGAAGCCTATATACTGTTGAATTTCGGCTATTTTCAGTCGATTGAAAATTGAAAAGATGCAAATCCGGAATTACAAAATACATTATTTTCAAACGACGAAAAGTCGTCACCGAAAAATTATTTCGGGAAACTCATTGTAACGCTGTTCCAGTCATAAATTCTTGTCCGACTTCAATCTTTTATATAATAACATAACTTCCAGATGTGTGAAGTAAGATTTAGAAGTTGCGATGCATAGCCTCGTTGATAACGAGATTGATAACACAACTTTTAAAACATTGTAACTAAAAACGAAATGAAAGTAAAAGACATTGATAAATCAGTGTGTGATTTCAAAATTCCACTAATAATGGGCTATAGAGGATTAACGAAATAAAAACGGTGATTTTGGTATTAACGGATATTCTTGCACTTGGCTACATACGCGGATAAGGTATCGATACATTCTTGCAACGAAGAAAAAGCGTGGTTAACGGAACGAGAGTAACTTCCGTTCAATTGCTTCCAAGATCGTAACTTCCGCGATCAACAATGAAGCGTGACGAAAAATAGAGCCCACCTCGTAAATCCTGCTTGATAGACAGAAGAGATTACATGTCAAGCAAAATTTCGATATCAAGCCACGTTGTGGATGAAATACATAGCAAAATTTACGACAAGCGCGTAAATGAGACGGCGCGGCGCTGTATAATGCATTTCTTGCAGCGGAAAACGACGAAAATGATGCATATTATTCGTCGACTACAGATTTTTGTAATCTCAATAGTTTTGCTATTATATTTCCCCTCGATCATCATTACGAACATAATTTATGGCTGTGATCGTTGATTACAGTTTTAGAAATCATCAGTTTGTGAAGATTTACACAAATTCGCTTTGTCTTAAGTTACAACAATTATAATAAAGTTAAAATGTCTTCCGGTAGCTAGAACAAAAATAATTATACCATTCGTTTTTTACCAAAATAAGAAATGTCCAGGCCTTAAACAAATAACAAATATACAATATTCGAGAGAGCAACGCGTTACACAATTTTTAAAAACAATTTTTAAAAAGATGTTAAATTATGCTTTCTTCACATATATCTCAATATTGAAATCCAACCTCTAAAAAGATTATTTCTCGAGTGCACAATGCGTATAATTTGTAGAAAAAGACTATAGAGAAGCATATCCATTTTCACTCTATGATTCTACTGAGATACTATAGATATAGTTGTTCAGGAGATTGAAAAAAGATTGAAATAAATATGAAGTAGTTCAAAGGAATTATGAGACGATTCATGAATCTTTCAAACACTTCAAAGTAATCACACAAATTGCAATTGTCAGAAAATCTTAAACTTCAATTTGAGTTATGTTTTGGTCTTGAATCTTGAGGCTAAAGTGATTTAAAACATGATTATTGTAATAAAAGATGCTATTAGTTACCACTACTAGTACTGCACATTGCTTGAGAAGAGCATAATTAATTACCAGGAAATTCTAAACATACCTCGAAAATCGATTCATAAACAATCCTCATTATATGCAATAGACGTGTAGATTTCTACATATAATTAACATTACAACGTTAATTAAACTAAAATATGAGGTTACACCAAATATATCGTAGTCCTTATACGATTCTGTAATACATTTTTGCTGGACAGACTATAATAAACTTTTTATTTCTCGTATTATATTGATTCTAATTAGGCTTGTATTCCCAACCCTCATGGAAGGTTCAAAAATGGCACTTAAAGAAAAGTATCATTTTATTATGTCGGCGTTTTAATTGACACGTAAAGTGATTCGCAGGAAATGAAATTCCAGGTACCGACCAGTCATCCGGCTCGTCTCTTTTCCTTCATGAACCCATTGGCCATCGAGATTTGGCTGTACGTTTTGGCAGCGTATGTTCTCGTATCTGTGACCATGTTCGTGGTAGCGCGATTCAGCCCGTACGAATGGAACAATCCGCATCCCTGTCACGTGGGCTCCGAGGTTGTCGAGAACCAGTTTTCACTGGCCAACAGCTTCTGGTTCACTATTGGCACCCTGATGCAGCAGGGCAGCGATCTCAATCCTAAGGTAATTCAATGGCTCCTTGGCACAGTGACTCCCTGCATTTCCAAAAACAGACGTAATCATCAGAATTTATATACTTATTTGAAAATATTTTCGAATTTGTATTTCATATGGGTGTTCCACAATTATTTTAACAGCCGAAAATGAGGGGTAGCTGAGGTCATTTGAAGTAACTTTTTCCTTTGCGAAAATGCAATCTGCGGCTTTGTTTACGAGTTATTAACGAAAAACACTGGCCAATGAGAGGTGACGGCGCGAGAGAGAGAGAGTCCGCGAGAGAGTCCGCAGCACGAGGCTTTGACAGAAGGTCGGGACGGACTCGAGCCGCGTCCGAAGTATTGAACAAATCAGGAAGCGTGAACTTTCCGGATTTTTTTTTATTACATAAAAGTGATATTTTTAAGAAAAACGCTGTTCACCTCTACTTTAGAACGTCTGAAGAATATTTACTCATTTTTCGGACCCGAAATAATAAATAATTTAACCGTGACGGCCGTTTTAATTTTCTAGTGTGCATGACACCTCGTGTGTAACATGTGAAATTTTTAAGCAAGGTGTGCAGTGAAGGTTAACAAAGTACGTAAATGATATTTTACGTAAATGATATTTTAATTTAAATAATTCCGTGTCCGAACACAGTTCGACGAATGATTCGCAAAGCTAATTTAATAAATAATAATCGTGTTAAAGGACGTAAGGGATATGTTTGTTAGAGAGAAATATGAAGAATATTATCAATAAGAAACTCATCCATTTAGTTGTAAAATCCACTTCATGTATCCGACGGCGACGAACAGAAGGATGTCTCCGAGCAGGCAATTTCAACGTTTACTTCCACTGCATTATCACTAAACACTGATCACTTGTCAATAATATTTATGGACGAACTTTCCTGGGTTAATATGTATGGCTCTGAAAAGAGCCGATTTTTTTAAGCGACGCGTTCGAAGTTCTCACTGTTAACGACACGTATGTACCGCGTTGTCGAGATGAACTGCAGAAGACTGGCACGATGGCCGACTGTGTTTCGTTCTCCTACGAGCGAATTTCAACTGTTTTCCATCGAACGCGAACATTGTCAGCCATCGTGCTAGTCTTCCGCAGTTCATTCCGTCAACGTGGTATGTGTTCTTAACAATATGAACTTCGAACGCGTCGCATAAAACAATCTGCTCAGGACCATACATATTAACCCAGGAAAGTTAGTCCATAAATATTATTGATAAGTGATCAGTGTTTAGTGATAATGCAGTGAAAGTAAACGTTGAAATTGCCTGCCCGGAGATATCCTTCTGTTCGTCGCCGTCGGATACAGATCAGCTGTGCAGTTCATCATACATTGTACGAGGTCAATGCACTATCCTCCTGCACACATTTCCGTGCATGAAGTGGATTTTACAACTAAATGGGTGAGTTTCTTATTGATAATATTCTTCATATTTCTCTAACAAACATATCCCTTACGTCCTTTAACACGATTATTATTTATTAAATTAGCTTTGCGAATCATTCGTCGAACTGTGTTCGGACACGGAATTATTTAAATTAAAATATCATTTACGTAAAATATCATTTACGTACTTTGTTAACCTTCACTGCACACCTTGCTTAAAAATTTCACATGTTACACACGAGGTGTCATGCACACTAGAAAATTAAAACGGCCGTCACGGTTAAATTATTTATTATTTCGGGTCCGAAAAATGAGTAAATATTCTTCAGACGTTCTAAAGTAAAGGTGAACAGCGTTTTTCTTAAAAATATCACTTTTACGTAATACAAAAAAAATCCGGAAAGTTCACGCTTCGTAACTTGTTTAATACTTCGGACGCGGCTCGAGTCCGTCCCGACCATCTGTCAAAGCCTCGTGCTGCGGGCTCTCGAACTTCGCGCCGTCACCTCTAATTGGTCAGTGTTTTTCGTTAATAACTCGTAAACAAAGCCGCAGATTGCATTTTCGCAAAGGAAAAAGTTACTTCAAATGACCTCAGCTACTCCTCATTTTCGGCTGTTAAAATAATTGTGGAACACCCTGTATAATGGCACGTAATGTCGTGCAGGTTCAATGTCGATTGTATCTATCACAAGTATAATTATCTGAGCATTTAGAAATATCTATACTAGTTTGATGAACCTATTTTTGGAAACTCGAGCGATTAACTCACTGTCCTTATTTTATTACTTTGTTTTTCTTTCCTGTTATTGATTTTTCTTCTTAAATAAGTATAATCTTTTCGTTAGGTTCCAATTGTTCAACGGAATGATAGTTCCGTACTTACATGCCCACTGTCAACTGATTCCATTTAGCAGAGATCAGTTAATGATTTCCTCATTTTCTTATTATCAAAAAATACTTGAGAATTTTCTTGCCAATCGACTTCTTGGTCACAAACCATAGCCGTGTAATTTATCAGATTATGCCATTCTTAACCTTATTCTTTATACTGATATTTATATACTATGTATTGAGATGACTATTTAATAATGTCGATAGACTTTCGTTATCTTATCATGTCCCTGAATATAATTTTTGAAACTGTGCAGACTTTTCTGTATATTAATTAACATCTACTGACATTGAAAAGAATCAATTGTTGATCAATTGTTGATCAATGGTATCAATCAATTGTTGTCACAATGGTTATTGCGATTAATTATCAGGCAGCCAGCACGCGGATTGTAGGCGGCATTTGGTGGTTCTTCACTCTGATAATCATCTCTTCCTACACTGCGAACCTTGCGGCTTTCCTCACGGTCGAGAGAATGATAACACCGATCGAGAACGCTGAGGATCTCGCTGGTCAGACAGATATTGCATACGGAACCCTCGACAGCGGAAGTACCATGACCTTCTTCAGGGTAAAGGAAACAATTCTTCAGTGTAACGTTGTGTGTATTTGCGTATAATAGAAGACGTTCCCAAATATCTAGGTTTTGGAATTAGCATATTGAACAATAAATTAGTATTATACAATTCTTCAACGTCTGTACTGATGTACATATTGAATGCATATAAATACCAAAACAAACATCTTATGGATTTGTTGTAATGGAATCCTTATATCGATGGCAATTCCAGTAAGAAAATTGTTTAAATAAAGATTTCAACTGTATTTCAAACCTTAGATTGCTGAGCTCAAAGCATTCTGACGACAATGGTTTATAAAATATTAAGTCATGTGGAAAGTTCTGCGGTCGTTACAGTGACAGGTTCAAGAGTATAATATTCAAATTCAGTAATTTGTTGCCACTTCGCGCGTAATTGAAGAATTCCTCTTGCGTAGAAACTTCTTTGTTTACTTGCAAAAAGTTATTAAAATGATTCCATTCAAGAATGAGTCACTACAGGACTTCAACATCAATATTATAAATGTTCAAACACCATCCTTTTAATCGATGTTTGCAATGATTTCTGAAAAAAAAACAACTGATAACACTTTCTATGGGGCACTCTGTGAATTACAATAATTTCAAGGAATTTCTAATTTTGTCTATTCACACATGCTGAAAGGATTCCATGATCGAGACATACAAGAAAATGTGGCGGTTCATGGAAAACAAGAAACCATCAGTGTTCGTACCGACATACGAGGAGGGCATTCAGAGGGTCCTCCAAGGTGACTACGCTTTTTTGATGGAGTCGACTATGCTGGATTATATCGTACAGAGAGATTGTAATTTGACTCAGATCGGTGGACTTCTTGACAGCAAAGGTTACGGAATCGCCACACCTATGGGTAAAGCGTTCTATCCGTTCATTTTTCAACGTATCGCACACGATATGCGATTATAAAGTTTTTCCTGGATATTTTACAGGCTCACCTTGGCGAGACAAGATATCTTTGGCAATTCTGGAACTGCAAGAGAAGGGCGAGATTCAGATGCTGTACGACAAATGGTGGAAGAGTCCTGGCGACACTTGCATGAGGACTGAGAAAGGGAAGGAGAGTAAGGCGAACTCTTTGGGAGTGGATAACATAGGTCAGCTTCGTTCAAGCAAACACTTGATTTTACATTGCAATTTAGATGTGCATGTTTGCAAAACTAGTAATTACTATTACACTTGCCAGAGATTTAATTTTAGAAATATATTAAAATTCAATTGTACAATGTAGTCCACAAATTACACTTTGCAAAACCTATCACAAAACGTATCATTCTGTCAAATGTATGTCCCATAATTCCGGATGAGATAATTGTCCAGGAATTATCTAAGTTAAACATCAAGTCAACGTCCCAGATCGCAAACAGTCCTAAGTTTTCGCAGGAAAATGTATGTGCAACCAGAGGATGTTAACAAACTCTCAGATACCTTACAGGTTAATTATGATAGCACTGTCTATTGTATTTATTTATGGGGAGAGGAGATATTCTGCTTTATTGCAAGGAAGAGAGGCACCTAGCTAAATATTTTAAAAACTATGAACTTATTTTAAACCAGACCAATGATAATGCTTCTACCGTATGCCAAGAAAAGAAAGTTATTAGAAATGAAAACCAAACCGCCACAAACTCGAATAATAACAGTAATGACAACCAGGTTTCCGTAGACTCTATTCCAGCTAATCGTAACAAGAGATGATTTTCTTGCTCGATGTCAGTGTTCACTTTGAATGGTAGTGCTGAAATTGCTAACAAGTTAAAGAAACAAAGCAAGAGGTCTAATACTGAAAAAGTAAAAAACTCTCTTGATTTTGAAAACGTTTTTCAATTTATTTTTGTAGCAGTGCACATTAATCTAATATATCTAATGTAATATATCACATCTAGTTTACACACTGCATTTGTACGTAATTATATTGTTAAAAATTTGTTGTCGATTGTATTTTCTTGTAAGCCAATATGAATCTCAGACGAGATTCCAGGTACTAAATGAAAAAAATCTACGCGATTCTTATACATGTTGATGTGCGAACCTGAATCTGAAAAGCAGTTTTCTTCATTCAATCAATTCATAAAATTTCAGTATTTGTGAACGATTTTTGCATTAACGATTGTATTAGCTCTTCCACATACAACAGTGATATAGATCGACGATGAACTCTATCGATTCGCAAATATCAAATCAACACTTCATAATGGATTTCTCGATTGTTTCGATTTTTTCCCTCATATGTACCTTCCTTCAACCCTATCACATTAATTGCGACAGGTTAAATGCATTTTCTACAGAACAATGTCCTATCCAAGAGCAGGACAAACAAATTTTTACGTTTGCTTGAGGATGAATATCTTCTGTTGCCTCGTAGGTGGAGTTTTCGTCGTTCTACTGTGCGGTTTGGCGTTCGCCGTGCTGATCGCTATTTTCGAATTCTGCTATAACTCGAGGAGGAACACGCCGGCGGAACGGGTGAGTCGAACCGGATGAAAATGATGATGCCAAACGAGAAACATAAATACAACAGTACCTTCCGAGTTTTATGAATTATTTAACAAACAATTCGTTCATGGAATAGATAGACGCTTTTTACAGACGAGTACGACACGGCGCATGAACTGCATGCATGAGTTTTTGTCACTTTTTGTTTCATTTGCATCGCCGTGGGCTTTTTCAACGCAGCATGAACTCATCTTCCACTGAAGCATGCCGGCAGACCACAAGCGCACGAAGCTCAGTCGTGAACCAAGGTCCGTTTTTTCAAATCTCACTTTGTCTCGTTAATTTTTCTTTGCTGTCATATACAGCTGCGGTTTTTTATCCGTCTCACGTTCCACCGTGTCGTTAATTTTGTCTGCTCTTTGATAACAACTTTTTAAAGTTTTAACTCCGATCAATAGTTCGGAATCGTTCAAGAATTTTTAGCAGTACAATGTTTTCGTCGAGTGTCGGAGTTACTACGTTTAGGGATGGGATTAAGTATAATGATCTCTTTTGAACTCGTAGGAATTTCCACAATGAAGCTCCATTTTTGACCTGCGTGAACTATACGCAATAATACAGCAAGATTTAAGTAAAATTAAGCTTGAGGAAATATTGTGATAAGAATTAGGTGCCATTTTAATACAGCACAATGTCGTTCGATATTTATTGTTTTTTTTCCTGGTTAATATATTTATGAAAAACAATTTAAAAAGGTTCTAATCTATCACAACTGGATTTGAGTCTACTGAGACATATTCTTGACTTCTTTTTCGAAATTCGTAAAACGTTCAAAGTTATCTAGACTAATTCTAATCTGCTACACCACGCTTCATCCTATCTCTCTAAGAGAATATTTAGATAATATTAGTCACCTGAATTAATTAAAAATTTTTAACTTTTAATCAACGATCTATCAGTAAATACTAATACGGATAAAAAGATTGATACAGAAAAGTCAGCCTTATCCGATCCTTTCAACTTTTAGTCTAAATATGCATTGTGACCAGGTCTGACATAGATTTATAAGCGGACCGCGGATTTTGCGCTTTTATGACAAAAACGAGTTGATCAAATAAGAGAAGATACACATATATTTTTAACTCTTGCCCCTTGTTGTTAATGCAGACCATTTTTATTTTGCTTAAAAATCCATAACCTAGTTATAAGACTCACAGTGCATGTGTAACGAAACTGAGTAATCAAATGTGTCTATGCAAAAACTGTCGCAACCACTTTATAAACTGAAGAAGAAGATGCCACAACTTATGAAAAAAAAAATGGTCCAAGAATTGACTCACTTGAGACTTTGCCACCAGGCATGTCTCAAGACAAATCTCATCGTCCGTGAACCACTTAACACGTTAAGTGCCGAATCTCAAGTCCCAAAATTCCCACAATGTCAAAATCATTTAATTAATAAAATCGAATGTAGAAAGTTTAGATTTACCATATGAATTATTTTGTATTCTAAAAATCCTGGTAACATTCAGTTTTTTGTTCAATGTATTACAATAAAAATGAATTTCAGAATCCAGTTAAACATCAGTGTCACTTACATGTGGCCAACGCGCCACTCAAAGTGTTAAGTGTTGCTCGAGTTGGTACGTTATCATTGGCTTCTTTGAATTCAGAGAGCTCCAATATCAACGCCAACCGGTTCCGGTTCTCTACAAGGGATCTCGCAGTCAGTGCAACAGCAACAACAGCAACAACAAACGCCGCAGCAGCAGCAACAGCAACAGAACCAGCAGCAAGAGTCACTGTGCTCGGAGATGGCTCGGGAACTGTGTCGCGCGTTGCGCTGCCACGCATCGTCGCGACGACGACGCGCCTGCGAGAAGTGCACGACGCACGTGATCGGCTATCCGCAGGACAACCCCACTGCCACCCCCTTAAACGGGATGCGATCTCAGGTATTGCACAGATTCAACTTGCAACTATCCTTTTTGCTCGGAATCGTAGCCACCTCGTTTTGATCTCGAAATATGGTGCCGAGATCAGCGTATTGAACCACTATTCCCTACACGTGTCGCCGGTGGTCAACCTCAATTTCAATGATGTTTACAGAAAATATTTATTAGACACATCATTTTTTATGAAGAAGTGTATGAAAGATGTCTTGAAAAATGTTCGGCACATATTTCTTATAAAATAAATGAAACCAGTTCTCAAATTCGAGAAGTATAGGACGAAAACCACTTGTTCGTGCAAAATGCATGATTTCTCATTGCATATTCTTTCGTGTAGACCAAATTTCAATAAATTGTCGATTTCTGAAATGTATAAAATGTTTTATACTTTCTCTGCAACGTTTTTCGTTAAATAATAATTCATGATAATTCACACGCGTGAACTGAGCACCAAAATAACAGATGCGTGTTGTTAGCATTAGCAAAACTTTTCGATGAAAACGTTAAAACGTTAAAATTTCTCGGCTATGCGATAAATTCGAAAAAAAAAGAACTACTTCGTAGTTACTTTCTAAAAAGAAACTGCAAAAGTCATATCAACTAATAGTGATTATGACGGAGATATTGTGCACTATTTTTGTAGTACAATGGTAAACGTACATAGATATCGTAACGATTCTCGTGAGTACTAATTTATGTTTACACAAGGCAATTCGCCTCCTGTTAACCTACTGCGCGTATCAATAACAGGAAATGGAGAGGAAAATACCAACTGATATTATTATCCACAATTAGTTGGTACACTTTTGATGCATCAGTGTAATCATTAATTTGGGCTGCTTCTGCAATTATTCGTGATAAATGAAGTAGCATAACGGCAAATATAATTTTTATATATAAATTAGATTGGGATCATATTGTCAGTGGTTCAGTTGATTGGATACGATTGGAGGATCATTAATAGGAGGCACTTCATTAATTTCTATAATTACTGCAATTTTAAATCTTTCTTTCGTTTAAAATACATCAATATGAATAAAATATATTTCAGTTAACATATACATAATATATTTTGTTCTTAAATAATAAAAGGGAAGTTTTACAAAATTTTTATGAGAAATAGTTCCTAGGAAAATATTTAACGCGTGCCTTTTCATCGACATTAGCATTAATAAAATTATTTTTAAAATATATTGAACATTTTTTAATACCCGTTTGCAAATTTTGTTATAAAATATTCACTCATTTTCATGGAAACTCGTGTGTGTAATCTACGATTCGGAATATTTATGAAATTCTGTACGCAATCAATTTAAATATTTTAGTATGACAAGAGGTATTAAGTAAATCAGCATTGTTTATACGTTGCTGTCATACCCGTTTCATATCTTTCTAATTGTGATAAGAAAACTGATCCCTTAAAGTATTCCCCTGCCCGATTCTTATAAACTACAGTGTGAATTTCCCTATTACGTTTTCTTCTTAAAATATGTCATAATCTATCAGACTCCTTTCCTTGTAAATTACGTTAGAAGGACCACCAGTATTACCATTGAAAAGAGTTATCAACATTAAGAATAATAATAGTAAATAGTTCAAAAATTTAGATCCATTAGGAAGATTCGAATATTCCATATACTACAATTTTAACTATGGATAACATATGAAAGAACTAATGGAGAACGACCCAAGTCAAACATCAAAACATCATGTTTTAAAGCTAAATGTTAGCCATTGAATATTAGTGCGTATTCTTTCTGCAATCAACAAGATTGGTAAGATGGATGAATAAATACCGCAATTCTTGTTATTTTCTGACAAAATCCGACGTTCCATATGGTCGAAACTAATGAAAGCATTTTCTGAGAAACATCTCTTTGCAGAGAAGCAGCCTGGGTGTTCCCACGGTCGAACTGCCGCCACACATTCACATGCACCATCACGCACCACCGCCACCACCGCCCCACGACTACGACGGTTCTTAGCCACATGTTCCACGTAATTCAAGTTTCTCACCTCTGCGATCACCGTGAGCGTAACTAAATGGCAAGGACAGGGAGAGCAAACAAAGGATCATGAAGCAAGTACAAAGCGCATCGAGTGGCACTGGACGGAAGAACTGCGAGAAGAGTTCGTTTTACTTTTTCTAGAGATCGACAGTAGAACACCGCCGCGAGTGTCACGTTGCGAGACATCACCAACATTGCACAATTCCTCTGCGGACATTCGCCACTGCCGGGGGTGGGGAAGGGGAGGGGGAGGACTGTTCTCCACTGTCAACCGTGTCAATCCGCCCGCAGAGAGTTTTTCGTCTCTTGGTACTCTATCACAAAACTTGCACCGATAATTATCCGCACATCTTTGGTCACGATAGAGGATCGATTTCCTCAAGTCTGGAGTCTCGCGAGAAAGAAGGGTGCAATTGGCCAACGAGATATAACAAAGTCAATATATATATAACACTTCGCGGCAACAATACTCTTCGCATCTGAAAATTCCAGAAAAAAATTTTTAACCTAGAGTTTGCCGAATCAAAAATTTGAATCGTTTCCTCCAGAAATAGGGATCCCTTAAATTGAATAGAAAATAGGGTCTGAGCACAGCTGAGGACTAAGTTCACTGTTAGAACTTACGACGTAAGCATCCTCGGAATGCTAATCTTACAAATCCGTTGTATCTCGTTCATCAGTACACCCATCTCGTGGAACGCTCTTCCTCGGCACTCGTTCTACATTTCTTCTGCAGTTTCTTACTTCCGTAGTAAAAACACAATGGAGTTTTTTGTTGCAAAGACAAGCAAGATCTCGAGGCTATTTTATCTTGATTAATCCCCTCGATTGAATGGCTATGGGTTTTCTGTTCAAGCAATCATTGAGATAATCGGAGTTATATTTTAAGAAGAGGACGCTGGAATCTTGCGATTCAAATGGCTGCCAAGTACGACTAAGAAAATTATTCAGCATGCAAATCAATATGAAAAACTATTCTTAAATTTCTTATTTTATCGGAAATTTATAAATTTTCATGTAATTTCCAAAGAAATGTTATTATAGCGTGGATACGCGAGTGTTAAGTTTATACCACTAATCTTATAAATTGAAAAGTCTAACTGGTCAAATAAGGGCTGCACAAGATTTCTTATAATTTTTGAAAAATGAGCATATGTATATAGATAGTAATCACATGAACGAAAAACATCGAGATAGAAAATCAATTACTAAAAATGGCAAAAACGACGTCGTTGAACTCATATTATTCCAGCATTATTCCAGCATTATTTCAACTCGAGAGACACTATCCTCAAATATCTGTTAGATCTCATTATTCTCTCTGCTTCTGCAACTAGGTTTCAATCGATCTAATAGACGAATTATAATCTTGTAATCGAAGGAAAGGCTCCTCGGTAGTCTATCTTCTTAATTGATAACGAGATTTCGGATGCGAGTTCTCTCAGAACATTGAAACAAAAAGAAAAATAGGCGACGGTCAAGGTGTCGTCTAGAATCACGTATTTGCGTCCACTTAAACGAATAAACATACGCGTACGCGCACCACACACACATACACACACACACACACACGGCCACCGAACACGAGTACACTTTGTGTAAATACCGCGGCGGTACGCGCGAAAGTAGAACGATTCAATGCGAAGTATTTTAACTAACGCGAGACAAACGAGTATGTGTTTAGCGTTAAACAAGTACAACCAAGTAGACGTTTGGTGTCATTTAACGTGTGTATATGCAGATAGACGGCGAATAAATTTAAGACATGAAGACGGAAATCCATCCATTTGGCTACTTTCTTTCCAATCGATCCTTCCTCAATCGAGACCTGTTCTCAGAGGATTATCCAAATTAAATCGATATTTTCCAATTGAAATAAAACACAAATTATTGGAAATTTGTTTTTTTTTTATTTTAACCTAAATCACTTGTATAAATATATTATAACTTATAGTGGAACTTGTGTCTTTTGTAAAGGAAGCTGTTATTTTTCTAACATAATTTTCTAATACAGCTTTAGGCATTTTAAAATACAGAATTATAAATATAATACAACGAAATTAATGCTGAAGAACGATCTTAAAACTATACCTTGAATAAATTGGAATTATATACTAACTTAAGACTTCCTGCACGACACTGCTTGTATCCGTTAAAGAAGCATTGACAAAATGAAATTTTAAAGTTCGTAAACAAGTTGAAAAATCATATTTTTAATTTATCATTGAATATAGAGCAGCTAATAAGAGCTATAAATAAGAGCAGCTTTACAAATCTGGATCTTGAAATTTGAGCATCGATACCATTTTCATTGTAACTCTAAACTCTCTAAATCATTGTTATAATTATGATTAGTAAAAGGAAATGGAACACAGGTAAATCGATCAGTCCGCAATTTTTTATATAACATCATTTATTAAGGGATAAAATAAATGACAAATAACATATCACTTATATGAAACTATAACATTTCTTAGAGTGTTCATCATTCGTTATGATATAAAAGAAATCACATCACATACGACCCTCCATGTAACGCCGTCGGTCGTTTGTGCTCGGATCGAGACGCTGACTCGCGCGATCTATAAAATGTTCTATCCGACGTGACGACTTGTCTGTTCGTTCGAAAAAGAATCCACGAAAACACGTAAGTAGAGGGCTATGTCATCACAAGGGAGAAGAAGACCCAGAAAACTCCATGTGGGAAGCCTCGCGAGCGAGACTAGAGCTATTTGCCTCGGTCCATGATAAGATTAGGCGCCGACCGCGTCGCTTAATCGAATCAAAATGACCGTGATGTTGCAAGGCGAGTCGCGAATGGAAAATTCTCCAGGTCCAGGATTGGGAAAAGGTGTCTCAAAATCGGTTAAAAGAACAACTCTTGTTACGGGGTGTAAAAGAATTTAAAAAGTCGAGGTCGGCGTTCGCGGGTCCCAACGGATTCGAGCTAGCAAACGACCGTGCCTATGTCTTCTTCTGATACGATAATAATAATAATATATAATCGACTGAATCCATTTGGAAGGGCCTAGTCAAATCACTTGTAATTATCACACGAACGTATTCGACGCGGCGGCATGTAAATATTCAGCTCTTCAATCGTTATTTCATATCTTTTTTGTCCTCCTTTTCTATCATATTTCTCTCTCTCTCTCTCTCACTCTGTCTCTCTCGTAATATGTTTTGTGACACTCGGAGGTGGCTTAAGCTCGCGAAAATACGTGCGAACCAGCGGGACCGGTCTCGAGAACACGTTTTAACACGCGCGAAGCCGCTCCGCGCCGCGCGCGCGCGAGAGAGCTCGTCAATCGTATCTTGCTTCGATGTTGAAAACAATAGAAAATAAGAAACTAAAGAAGACGAAGAATACAAAGAAACGATACATGTGTATGCAGTATGTATGTAGGTATGTATGCTTGTGTGCACGTATGTATGCGTAGAACAAATGCCTCGTTCGAGTGCTTCGCTTTCTATCTCGGCCTCGTTACCACCTCCAGGGTTTCCCGTTTCCTCGCTCGTTGATAAACGTCGATCTCAATTAGACCTCACCAACGACACCCTCGTACAACTCTAGACGAGAAAGCGGGAAGCCAGAAGCTCACGAAGATTCTAGCTTCTACTAATAACAATTACTCTGTGTCGCTTCCCTTCGTTGAACAGGGGACAATTAAAAAAAAAAAAAGCTTCTATTGTTTCTACCATGCGAGACTCAGCTTAGAAAATTAGATAAGAGAAAATAATCAAGATCGTCTTTTAGTCGCTCACTTTTCTCTCATACACATTCGCACTCATCTTCTTCGTATCTCCCTTTCTTTCTCTCTCTCTCTCTCTCTCTCTCTCTCTCTCTCTCTCTCTCTCTCTCTCACATACAATCTCTCTTTTCCTTTTCTGCTTTCGATAACTGACCCTTTTTCATCTACGCTAAAGAAAGCTCTCGCCCCCTCCCTCTTTCTCGACTACTAGAATGCTTATTACATATGAGATCAGTCCAGGCACCTGAATGGCGCCGCGGACACCGCGATTTATTCCACGAAACGTTCACCAGGTGTTCTCCATCGGGCTCTGATCGCTCTCTCGCGATCCCATTCGCGAATCGCGCGATACTCGGTGATCTGGCAAAGGCGGAAAGAAAGACAAGGGTAGACAGACAGAAAAATAAGACAGATGTCGAAAGAGAAAAAGAGTGTGAGAGAGAAGACGTGAGGCAAACGGCATAAAATTAAACGCGAGCTATGTTCCCCGGGGCAAATGAAACTTTTCTCCGCAGATGCTGCGATTTACAGAAATATAAAGTAATACAATCACTCCTACTAAATTGAATAGAAAACCAGATTTTCTTAAACGAGTAAATTTTTTAGAACAGTTTGTGTTCCTAATAGAAATGATTCATCGGCGGAAACGTGGCACGAGTCAACAAAGAAACCGCGTACGAACCAATTTAAATCAAGAATGTAAAAATCGGATTCAAAGCCGAGCCTCTCGATGGAAATGTTAGCTCGGGAAGTACATCTCTTAACCGTTTACATAACGTATCAACATACATCGGACCGAAACAATGAAATACAATTAAATAGGTTGATCACTATGTTGAATATGTTCGTTCTACACAGAAAGACAGACGCGGGCATCCATAACGAATTGAGACACGCAACTATGATAATTTCGAGGATACTTCGATGCCGCTGGAACACATGAGGCCGACGTTAGGGAACAGGTTGCGAAAGAGGAACCGGAAGTCGCGTTTGAGGCGGCTCTGTAAACGGTAAATCTCTCTGCTGCGTTTTCGCGCTCGGATGGAGAAGAACGAAGATGGAGCAGGCGAATCCTGCGACCTGAAGATCCGTTCAGAAGAAAAAGATACGAAAGAAAAAGAACAAGGAGGAGAGAAGAAGAAAGTGTCGAAGCGGAGCCCGAAGGAAATGAACGTCGAAGGAATGGAATACTGTGGTTCGCGCAGTCCGTCGCAACCTGCGACGTACATATATCCGTCTAAGTCAACGATTCTTCGGCGAGTTGCGACATGGCTGAATGGAGAACACGTGAAGAGGAAAATGAGAGAAGAACGAACACGAAAAGGAAGATGCGCGGCGATCTCGTTCTATACGCGTAATAGGGTCGCGTGAGATTGAGGCTCGCCCCCTATAAATTCTTTTGAAGTGATATGTAGGGACGTCGTTTGTAAAACAAACGCGTCGCTGTTGGTNCAGGGGACAATTAAAAAAAAAAAAGCTTCTATTGTTTCTACCATGCGAGACTCAGCTTAGAAAATTAGATAAGAGAAAATAATCAAGATCGTCTTTTAGTCGCTCACTTTTCTCTCATACACATTCGCACTCATCTTCTTCGTATCTCCCTTTCTTTCTCTCTCTCTCTCTCTCTCTCTCTCTCTCTCTCTCTCTCTCTCACATACAATCTCTCTTTTCCTTTTCTGCTTTCGATAACTGACCCTTTTTCATCTACGCTAAAGAAAGCTCTCGCCCCCTCCCTCTTTCTCGACTACTAGAATGCTTATTACATATGAGATCAGTCCAGGCACCTGAATGGCGCCGCGGACACCGCGATTTATTCCACGAAACGTTCACCAGGTGTTCTCCATCGGGCTCTGATCGCTCTCTCGCGATCCCATTCGCGAATCGCGCGATACTCGGTGATCTGGCAAAGGCGGAAAGAAAGACAAGGGTAGACAGACAGAAAAATAAGACAGATGTCGAAAGAGAAAAAGAGTGTGAGAGAGAAGACGTGAGGCAAACGGCATAAAATTAAACGCGAGCTATGTTCCCCGGGGCAAATGAAACTTTTCTCCGCAGATGCTGCGATTTACAGAAATATAAAGTAATACAATCACTCCTACTAAATTGAATAGAAAACCAGATTTTCTTAAACGAGTAAATTTTTTAGAACAGTTTGTGTTCCTAATAGAAATGATTCATCGGCGGAAACGTGGCACGAGTCAACAAAGAAACCGCGTACGAACCAATTTAAATCAAGAATGTAAAAATCGGATTCAAAGCCGAGCCTCTCGATGGAAATGTTAGCTCGGGAAGTACATCTCTTAACCGTTTACATAACGTATCAACATACATCGGACCGAAACAATGAAATACAATTAAATAGGTTGATCACTATGTTGAATATGTTCGTTCTACACAGAAAGACAGACGCGGGCATCCATAACGAATTGAGACACGCAACTATGATAATTTCGAGGATACTTCGATGCCGCTGGAACACATGAGGCCGACGTTAGGGAACAGGTTGCGAAAGAGGAACCGGAAGTCGCGTTTGAGGCGGCTCTGTAAACGGTAAATCTCTCTGCTGCGTTTTCGCGCTCGGATGGAGAAGAACGAAGATGGAGCAGGCGAATCCTGCGACCTGAAGATCCGTTCAGAAGAAAAAGATACGAAAGAAAAAGAACAAGGAGGAGAGAAGAAGAAAGTGTCGAAGCGGAGCCCGAAGGAAATGAACGTCGAAGGAATGGAATACTGTGGTTCGCGCAGTCCGTCGCAACCTGCGACGTACATATATCCGTCTAAGTCAACGATTCTTCGGCGAGTTGCGACATGGCTGAATGGAGAACACGTGAAGAGGAAAATGAGAGAAGAACGAACACGAAAAGGAAGATGCGCGGCGATCTCGTTCTATACGCGTAATAGGGTCGCGTGAGATTGAGGCTCGCCCCCTATAAATTCTTTTGAAGTGATATGTAGGGACGTCGTTTGTAAAACAAACGCGTCGCTGTTGGTCGAAAAGTCTCTCGGTGTATGTATGCATGAGTGTCGCTGTGTTGTGTGTCCGTGAACATGTGTCTGACTGTATCCGTATGAATATACCTCGTGTGTACGTGTACATAGTCCGCTGGTTTTCTACGGTTAATTCGTCGGCGCATTCCCGTTCGTCCTGCTATCGCAAACCAGCGCTGATAATTGTTTAGAAATGTTCGATTTCCAGAGATCGTTATTGTTTCTGGTCGCCAAAAGCCGGTTCGCAAACTTCGGCAGAGAGAACGCGGGCGTGTGGTTCTCCTACGGAACATAATAGTTCCACATCATATACACGAATATACAATAAATTCCAAATCACACACATACACAGTTTACATAATAAAGAGACACTGTAATTAGAAACTCTACACGTACATTTCCCGTATCGTTCATTTCCCCCTGTTATATGCTGTGTGCTTTTCCTATGTATTTTTTTGTTTCTTTCTCTTTGTTTTGTTCGCCTTTTGCTCGTGCCGTTCTCAAAGTTAGCACGCGATCCTCCTCGCCGTTTATCGACGTAAACACGTGATTTTATATGTACGGCGTGTACACACAGATATACATACGTATAATACATATACATATATACATATGTATATATATTATACGTATACATATACATATACATATATATATGCGATCACAGACGCATGTAATTTGCGCCTATTAGAGTTTTTGTTTTCCTCTATTGTTTCTTCTTATTTTGTTTGTGCCACGTTCCTCGTGTACCGTAACGACTCTTAATATGGATTTGATTTATTTAAACAGCCTCTCTACCCTACTTGCACTCGTACATGGCGAGTGTTCTAGTGTGTTTTGGTCATCGGAAGAAGGTGCGAACCGCGATCCTCGATAGATCTCTAATCATCCCTCGCTTTTGAAGTTAACACGATCTTCGCGAAAGGCGTCGACAACTTTCCAAACCGTTTTGTCGTCCGCCCCTTCGCTTGGTCCTCGCCGTTCTTACATCCGATCGCTGTCACCAAAAAATGTTTGTGCAGTCTCGAGAGTATGATTATTTACGTCAAACAGAACAGACAGAACGAGCTTCGCGTGCGCCAGTTTGTCACCGTGTGACAAACTGTTATCGGTGAGTGCTTTCCTCACAGTACGAGAATCTCTCGTTTTCTAAGCAACTCGTTCTATCTTCTCCGTCAATATTCGCCAATAGAGAACTCGGGTCTCCGGAATAACAGGGGCAAAACGCAGTGTTTTCGATTGTAGTATAGTTAACGCACGGAATGATCACGTTGTTCGTGGCTGCGCAATGGACTGGTCACAGTAGCGCCATGATCTGTCGTTAATAAACACGTGCTGAACGTCCTTATGATCTACGACTCCCCATTCTTCGAAATCTGAGTTCTCACCACACGAATACAATGATAAAACGAAGGTACACTTTGTCGATAATATTATAGCATTTGTTGTCTCGTTATATGATAGTCATTGAAGTAAACGAGGTCGAAACGAAATATGTACATGCATATACATATATGCACGTATATACATATACATATAGGTATCTATACATGTGTATATATATACATATATGCACGTATATACATATACATATAGGTATCTATACATGTGTATATATATACATATATGCACGTATATACATATACATATAGGTATCTATACATGTGTATATATATATATATATATATATTTGTATGTACAACGCGAAAGACAAAATTTTCTTCTATCACGCGAACGAGCATCGCGCGCCGAAACGATTGAAATCGTACAATGACATAATCATCTTGGGTTCGGTATAGGCTCGTGATTGCACCTTTTGCGAATTATTGCAACCATTGATGAATAAAAGTGTCGCGACACGTCAGTCGTTACGCGAAACGGACGTAAGACGCTCTGCCCTCTTCTTTTTCCGTGGTCTCCGCTGTTCACGGTTCGCGACAGCGAACGAGAACCGTGTGGAAGCGTATCGTTAAAAAATTAAAAAATAAGGGGCTAGGGGGACAAAAGAATAAACTTAATGGGTCCCGTTGAGGGGCTCAACGGGAGGAGATTAGGCAGAGGGGTGTACGGGGGGGCAGAACTTCTGTAGATCTGAAATTTTAATAAAACGCGCGAATAGCAGTTTACTACGATTAATCGCGAACATAAAAAAAAAATACGAGTGTCTATTTACAAAACAAATCTCCTCCGCTGCTCTTGTCGCGTCTCTCTCGTATTCACGTCTTGCTCTGTCTCGTTCTCTCTTAGTGATCCGATCCCCACCAGGGGTCTCCTTCAAAAATGATCTCCTCGTCTCAGAGGCGTGGAAACGAAAACGGCGCTCCACTTCTTCTTCCTTCTTCTTGCTCGAACAACGTCTTTACACGGAATTCGTTCCTCGTCGACACTTTAGACACAGCATCGTCATTCTCAGCTCTCTCACTCCCCTTGATCGCAACTTTCTCATCAAAGAGATGACTGCATTTCATGTTACCAACAACGAGCAAATGGTGGATACCTTGAAGACACTCGTGGAGGGCGCGGGTCCGGTTTGATTTCTCCTTCTTCTTCTTTATTTTCTTCATCTTCCCCTTCATTTTCTTCCTCAGCGCGCCCAATGTCGTCGGTGTAACGTAAATCTTCTGTTTGAATCCTTGTATGCGTTCGCGCACGTGTTGCGTATCTGTGTGTGCGCGTNAAAACGAAGGTACACTTTGTCGATAATATTATAGCATTTGTTGTCTCGTTATATGATAGTCATTGAAGTAAACGAGGTCGAAACGAAATATGTACATGCATATACATATATGCACGTATATACATATACATATAGGTATCTATACATGTGTATATATATACATATATGCACGTATATACATATACATATAGGTATCTATACATGTGTATATATATATATATATATATTTGTATGTACAACGCGAAAGACAAAATTTTCTTCTATCACGCGAACGAGCATCGCGCGCCGAAACGATTGAAATCGTACAATGACATAATCATCTTGGGTTCGGTATAGGCTCGTGATTGCACCTTTTGCGAATTATTGCAACCATTGATGAATAAAAGTGTCGCGACACGTCAGTCGTTACGCGAAACGGACGTAAGACGCTCTGCCCTCTTCTTTTTCCGTGGTCTCCGCTGTTCACGGTTCGCGACAGCGAACGAGAACCGTGTGGAAGCGTATCGTTAAAAAATTAAAAAATAAGGGGCTAGGGGGACAAAAGAATAAACTTAATGGGTCCCGTTGAGGGGCTCAACGGGAGGAGATTAGGCAGAGGGGTGTACGGGGGGGCAGAACTTCTGTAGATCTGAAATTTTAATAAAACGCGCGAATAGCAGTTTACTACGATTAATCGCGAACATAAAAAAAAAATACGAGTGTCTATTTACAAAACAAATCTCCTCCGCTGCTCTTGTCGCGTCTCTCTCGTATTCACGTCTTGCTCTGTCTCGTTCTCTCTTAGTGATCCGATCCCCACCAGGGGTCTCCTTCAAAAATGATCTCCTCGTCTCAGAGGCGTGGAAACGAAAACGGCGCTCCACTTCTTCTTCCTTCTTCTTGCTCGAACAACGTCTTTACACGGAATTCGTTCCTCGTCGACACTTTAGACACAGCATCGTCATTCTCAGCTCTCTCACTCCCCTTGATCGCAACTTTCTCATCAAAGAGATGACTGCATTTCATGTTACCAACAACGAGCAAATGGTGGATACCTTGAAGACACTCGTGGAGGGCGCGGGTCCGGTTTGATTTCTCCTTCTTCTTCTTTATTTTCTTCATCTTCCCCTTCATTTTCTTCCTCAGCGCGCCCAATGTCGTCGGTGTAACGTAAATCTTCTGTTTGAATCCTTGTATGCGTTCGCGCACGTGTTGCGTATCTGTGTGTGCGCGTATCACCGTGTCGGAGATACAACGATTTATGCATATACTACGACTTCGTGTGTACTTGTGTATGCGTGCCAGAGGAAGAGAGAAAGAGAGAGGATATCGGTGTCGCGTTCGCTCGTTCCTTCCGCGCCGTGTGCAGAGTCCGCAAAGACACCTCTTCGCGAATCCGTGCTGCGAGTTTATACGATTGAAAATAAAAACCGACGACAAACTGACTGACAGCAAGTAGACGAAGGGAGCGGCGCGGGCCTCGCTTAGGTCATGTATCGCATCACCGCGCGGAGCGCGTACAGCAGCTCAGCTTGCATACGCGCCTCCAGAATCATCAAATTCACGTGGACCTGTGAAAAAACAAAAATACCCAATTAACGTAAGAAATTAACTTCTCGAGAACGCGCTATCTCGTTCTGATCGATCGGACTGCTTGGTATTTTTCTAAACAGTTGAGTTGTCTTAATTTTAACTTAAGACATGTTACGTGGTCCTCATAATTGGACCAGATAAATGCATGATATTCAATCATAGCTTTATCAGTTTTTTCAAACATATATTTGAAGGTGTATCTCATAAACCTGTTGATCTTTTTGTTGTTTCCGATGTAACAACTATCCATTTAATTTAATCGAGACAAGTGGACTTAGTCGATCAAAATAGACCCGGGCTAAATTCTTTTAATGTTCCCACGATCTTAAATTGTAATCTGTAAATTCTGAAAGAATAATAACCAAATCCATGATTGTGAGAAAAAATGTGAAGTAATAAAAACTCGGACTGAGATAAGAACGTTTAAGTTCATCTTGATGAGAAATATCAATGGACAAATAAATATTGTTGATCGATTAGTTCTTACTGTAAGGATCGAGAGAAAAATAAGATTTATTTATATCAGTCTGACGAAACAGTGACACAATCAAGATTTATGTATCTGTGACAGAAACAGATTTTGGCATTGCCTTGCGAGTTTCGCTTTCATCGTTTTCGACTCACGAGATTTTCTGTACACGTGAAATTGAAAAACGTGTGCAAATGTGGAAATAAATCATACGTAAACAAGGTCGCAGGTATTTGCTTTCCAGTTACGTACGCTCGAGTTACCTGTCGGAACAAACGCGATTAGTCTTTGTTTCGACGCGATAAACAACCTCTTGCTTTCTGGATCTACAGTTTCCTTGTGCAGCATTCTGCAGTTATGAGATCACCTTCAATTAGTTCAAATTAATGACTATATTCGCAATCCGACGGATCTTCGAACGAATTCTAATTCCTAATTAGAAGAGACCGATGCGATCAACGCGAATGTTTTTTTTACGCGTTCGCTACTAGCTCGACAGGATCGACGAGTCACTTGTCCTTCATTTCTTTCGCAGTTGCGCTTATCACAAACTGAATTCATTATTGACAATTCGCTCTAAAAGAAGTGAGAATTCCGTATTCATTGTCCAATTATGTTTAGCTTGCGGATGAACTCTTGTACAATTTGCAGAGTCCATTGACGAAGAAAATGAAACTACGCTACAATTATTGGTCTCTTAAACACATTTACAAATACGTAAATTTATACATGTAGTTCTACAGTCTGCTGATAACACTAAAATAGCATATCATTGCAACTTGGAAGAGATAAATGACGCCCGTATTGAAGAAATCAAATATGTTCCGATACCATATCTTGTTAGAAACAAAACTTAGTAGTCGCGTTTCCTTTATTAACATTTCTAAAACATTCGCACTCTTTAAAAAGTTCGTTATATCATATTATATCAATTTCATTGGAAATCTCTCTTATAGTCTCCAAACTTGTACAGATAATGGCTCACTTATACATAAGCACAGGTGCACTCTGTCAAGTCGTGTGATAACGAACATGTTCCTACTGGATGTACGAAACAAAAGACATTGGTCTCTTCTTCAATGAACAATTGTAGAAATTCGATCATTATGTCGATTGACAAAAAATCGAGACAAACCTTTTCACTGTGCTTGAACTCCCTCATGACGCGATCGTAATCCCTTTTGGTTACACGTTCCGGATAGCAGACGGCGCTCTTGATAAACGTCTTCAAGCTTCGCTCGAGGAGCTGGTTGACCTCGTTGTAATCGTAATCGTCATGTCTGATGCCAAACATGCACTGAATGTAGTTCCAAATGGCCCGTCTGAAACGCGATGTATCCACTTTGCTGTGCGTGCCCATCGTGTAGTATGTCAGATTGTAAGCGGTCTTGAATTTGTCGTCGAGGAGGTAGCCGACGTCGTTGTAAAGTCGGTTAACGAGCGAATAACCATGATCGTCCCAGGAGTAGTCCTGAACGCGGAACGTCGGTATGTCGTTCAACTGACCGCGCTACAAGCAAACGGAAAAGAAATCATAAAACTAAGCACATCATAGCTTCGATCGACGAAACATTTTCACCTACGTTGCGCTCTTGTTGTAACTGTAAGATCCTCCATCGACAGTTACAGTAAATTATCACCTAACTCCTGCTAGTCGCATGAATTCAAAATTTTATTGGCGTGAACATGGAGTCGATATGGTTTCTCTTAAAAACTGATTACGGAGGAGATAAGAATTTTGTACGCATCGTAAACTCGTATTTGCTAGCAAGATTTTGTACAACTGCATATAATGTGTAGACTACGCGTCAATGTTCAAATTCCCATTTACGTGAATCATTCCATCAAAGGGTAAAAAATATATGCGTGCGATAATGGTATAGATGCATGAACAAACGTAGTCGACCAATAAGCTTTGCGTTTTCTCCCGCTTAAGTTCAATTCGATATTTGGAAGGTAAGGGGTTAATTTTATTGAAGGCCAAGTCAATAGCTGATTCCACGAGACGCACACACGCGTGTCATCGCGTCGTAAATATTCATGGATCGCGGTGGAAACGGCGATCGAATCGACGAACTTTAATATTCATCGGTGAGCTTCGTGTCCCATCAAATCTACTTTCGAATCGAGCTTGTGAGCGGCACAGAAATGGTAATCTTGTTACTGTTATTTGTTCTGGTCAAGCAAACAAGTTTCAACAAAAATTCTACATTGACCGATTGCTTTCACTTTTTCAGAACTTTTGTTTAGACCAAAATCACTATTGTTCAATCTCTTTTTGTGAAGCTATTCTATTTGAGTAACACGTTGTCATTGAAATGTAGAATCTTAGCACAAGTAAATCAATCGTGATCAGGTCAATAATCGCTGGTTACTGAACAAAACGACCGATCATGCACAACGTAGGCGTCGCGAACAGAAACATGATAATTACCTTAGCAAAGTCTTGATAAATGAAGGTGGGATCCTCTATGAAGTGGCCGATGTCAGAGTCGAGGACTGAACTCCTCTGTGGTGCTGCAGCGAGCTCTGCCGATTGCGTCTCCACGGTCTCGAATCTCTTCGACAACTCTTCCTGAGTGATCTGATAAGATTCAGACTTCTCGGAGAGGCGCTTCATGCGCTCCATCAGCGCCTCGACGCCGACCTCTTGTTCACCGACTATGCTTGGCGAGGATGGTGGCGATGGTATGTTTTCTGCACAAATTAAAAACGGTAGCTTCTTATAGCAGCGATCAATCCAATTCGGCGTGCCGAACATAAGTTTGTGAACCAATCGAAACGCGTTTATTAAAATGGTTTGTATTTATTGTAAACGATTATAAAATTAATATGATATATATATATTTCCTCAACGAATTTTGTAGAAATAACATTGCGAGTTCGTAAATCGATTAAGAGGATATCATAGAAAATATGCAAAATGTTGTATCATAGAAACATAATATGAAAGCCTGATCAATGAATTTGAAGAATGGACGATTCGATATGGCACTATGAAAACAACAGGTAATTATCAACATGTTTAACAAATAATTTTTATTGTATTACTGTATAAATGGTTTCTATCTAATCATTCTAGGGTAAACAAAATTTGAAAACTCTGTCCACAAGAATCTAAAATATTAAGAACGGGATTAAAAACTTACCAGTCTTGCCATCACCGTTGGGAATCTTTTTGGGACTACTGGAAAGTTTGTCTTTGGCAGTTGGTAGGTTATTGCTATTTTCCTGGACATTATCTTTGTAATGATGTCCGGTGATGTTGTCCAGCTCCTCGTTGATTCCGCAGGAGAAGACGAAAGACGAAAGGGAGTGGAAATGGGCCAAAAGGACTATCGCGTGAACCACTTCGGCTAGGGACCAGCTATCTGCGCCCTTAGTCAGTTTCTGTAAGTCAACAATTCTCATTATTATTGTTCACCTTTACTCGTCGTACAGATACAATGCAACTCTAAAAAAGGAAACGCAATAGATTCGAACTTTGTTGCAGACTCGAACGAATTGGCTCACCTCTATGTGCGTTTTGTTCAACAGCCACGGTCTATGAGCTAAAATTTTGTTAATCTCATAGAGATCTTGAAGTTTTCCTGGAATCGATTTCAAGCCTCGGAGCCACGATGAATCGCCTCCCTGGAGGATGAACTCTCCCTTTTGCAGGTTTATAAGATAGCTACACTGATGTCTACCTGCGGCCTGCAAAATAAAAGACGTACTTTTACTTTTTTCATCTTCTGAACGTTTTACACAATTATTGACGTTCTAACGATCACTCAAACTGTAAATGACCATTACGAACTAATCACTTTATCACGAATCAACTTATCAACTACTTTGAAATATTATTTTTCATAAGTGTGCATTGAATAAACTAAGATTCATTGGAATCTACAAAGTGAAAAAGACATATAGTCTAAGTTTCAGATTTTCCTTCGTTAAATTATTCCAATTTCAGGGGATTTTTAAGGGTGCTGGTTTATTAGTTGACTAACGAGAATTCACCAATGGGTAACGAGAACAAGTAATACGTATCATTGCTAAAACCGTATGGTGACAAAAAGATATACTTATTGAAACAGGAAATGAAAATTCAAAATTGTTATATTCCTGATATGCTTGATCCTCGTACATTCTAAGAATCAATCGCATTAATATCAAAATTCACTTTTGGACATTATCTAATTCAAGACTGGACAGTCATAAAAATGAATAGCAATTTTTGTACTGGACATTTTCCTGTGAAGATATTCAATAAGAAAGGGTCTATTTTCATCTCGTAAGCATACGAAAACGTAGCTATAAAAATGCACGTGTCAAATGTTTCCCGACACTCGATAAATGGGACGAATTCATTGGCATACAAACGAGAAAGAATTCTCAATGGTCTCGAAAATATGAACGCGTTGGAACACGGTTTCAATGATTCCAACGACGTTCTCGACGTCACTAAAAGAAAAGAAGAAATCGAGCTCGTGAAGAGACCACGAGAAAAAAAATCCTGAAGAACGTCTCTCCAATGTTGGCACGACTTTCACGGACGAGCATGGACCGACGACGGAGCCTGCGGAAGAGCGTTAAGAGTGAAAGGACACAGAGACAAATTATCAGCGACGCGATGTATCGAGACACGGAATTGACCAAAGTTATACAAAAATTAAAAAATGTCTTTTCTCTTGATAACAATAATACCATTCCTCCGATATTATTATATTTTATGATTTATGAATCGCAATATGTATTATTGCATATACATTACAGTACGTATACATCGTAGTATGGATCACGTTGGAAGCGTTGAAAGCGTTTCTGAGTATGCGAATGTAGCCTTTAAAGTGCTACATTTGATAAGAATCAGGAGGATGGGAAACTCTTGACGTCTATAAGTTTCGAAGCATTAGATTTGTTATTCCAATTTTCGAATTTTAGTTAAACGTATCAATTGTAACGAAAATCGGTAAAACATTACTTTCTACAACAGTCAACTTAAAGGGAAAAAAAACATGTTCATTTCGCTGTGTTAATTGGATTAAAAAGTTTGAATTTTGTATCACAGATCCCCACAGATTCAGCGATCCCCATAACAAACAAAAATACTAATTTTCGTTGGAATCATATGAAGTTATCAATTTTGGCCAGCTGTTCGGCAAGAAGTGCCACTGTGCGACGTGACATTGAAAAAGAACATGTGTTATGGGAAAGGAGGCGCTCGGATGGGTGATGAGGCCAAACATCGCAGTATCGCAGATTAATCGCGAAGAGAGGGAGGACTGAGGGCCGATGTGGCGCCGACTGCCACGGGGAAGGGATAATGGAGGTCGGGATACGTTGGAATTCGATCTTCTCTTAATGGTTTGTTGTGATCGCGCCGGAATTACATCAGAAATTCAAATGCCCCGGGAATTTCTATCAAGCAACGGGGACGAAGCGGAGGCGGGGGCAGAAGTAAGAGACACGCGATCGAGCGCGTAAACAAGACACGTGTTTACAATGCGGCACGCGGATCGATCGGGCCCGAGGATCGCGATAAGATATACTGGAAGTTGCGAATTCCGGCAACCAGCATATTTTCTGGGACGCGATCTCCAACGAATTCGATAAACAACGTGGGGTCGAAGAAGCAAACTGTGCATCAGTGGGAGAGGCAGAAGAGGAGATGATACGAATGCGAGATAGGGTAAAAAAAAAAGGGAAACCAACTGTTCCTTTTTGGGAAGAATAGTCGTTTCATCAGCTTTCCTGTCATGGTACCTTTTCGAGTTTAGAAAAAATGGGAAAAGTCCTTCATTTCGAAATTGAAAATCTCTTGCAGTTGAATAATAACATTTGCCGTAATCTCAAAAGATTATCGATGGCTTTAAATTCTTTCTTTCTTCAGCAATTACTTATTTCGAAGAACACTTTAACTTTGATGAAAATTCTATATTTGTCAAATTATCTATTTTACGTTATTATATGATTAATTTGCAACGTATCAGAAATTTATAAAAGTTATTGAAGATTCATAGCTGAAAGAACAGCTGAATTTGAATATGGATGATTTTTTTTTGATGAAGTAACATTAATTTTAAAAAACTTTCACTCGATTCAAAGTTTTGAACATTTTACAAGATCCAAAACATCAAGTAGCAAATGACACGCGATTTTGAAAAGTGCTGATTATAAATATATGAATATTTTTAAAATAATTTCGTATGTGTTCTCAATTCCTGCAATGTCGGTATACAGTGAAAGAATTTTGAATTTCATGTCAACGAAATGGAGAAATGAACGAAATAAGTACTCGGTAGAACTTACAAAAAGTTATTCAAAATTTGCCGAAAAAATAAAAAGTTATGCGCATTTCCTCGAGTCTGCCAAAAATCGGAACAAATATAATTTTAGAAATTAAGAGCTTGTTTCACCTTTAATTTTAAAAGTTTTTCAAGATATTATTTTAAATTTTTCTACATCTCTTTGAATTAACATTCTTTTTAATTGAATTCTAATAATGCATCTTTTATATTTATTCGATTGTTTTCGAAGTTTTAAAAAATTGTTCGTTCACATGAATATTGACTCTACTCTAATAACAATAGTTTTCATGATAATTGTACATCCCACACACGCTTTCATAACAGCTATTTTTGATAGGTATCGCGCGTGCTTTTGTGCAATGAACGATTTATCTTTTGGAAAGTTTCTACACGTGCCTCTTAAATTGAAAGTTACTTTCGTTCATTTTGTAGCAGTTCCCGAAGTACAATTTCGAATGAGTTTTGATTGTAATGTACAGCGACGGTAGCTTATGAATATGATTATTGCAAAATAAAATATGGGTGCCGGGTCTACTTCCTGCCGATAGTAAAGCATCGAAACTGGACGAATTCTCCTCGAAAACAAATCATCAATCGTAAGCACGTTATTCTTTATTTATTTACGTATTCTTGTGATAAAACGTCGGCGAATTAGCATTTATTTCTAACTGTAGAAATGATATTTGAACGAACTTCAAGAAACTTAATTTATAAGAACCTCGATACAAAGAGTTTTATCGACGCACTGGGACATGCAACTATGTTTCTGTAAATTGTACAAATAGTTGAAAAACACAACGTCGAATAGACTAGCAACAGACATCTTATAATCAATATACACAAGACAAATCATATTGCCAAGAACCTTGAAAGTTCGCAATGTTTTATTAAATGCAATAAACATGTACATGTTCGAAGAGTTACTAATGAACACATTAATTAAATGTCCTCGGAGGATGAAATACTAGGCTAACAAACAAGCGTGTCTACAGGGGATCTAAAATCTTGTTTCTAGATAAGTCCGATAAGTTTCAGTCCTCGACAGACGAGAGATAGTGGAAGCCACGCATACGCGATCCGCCATCCGTTAGAATCGTTAATACCATTCCACTAGATTCCAGAGAACTCGCACCCGAAAATAGTCTGCTCTTTTCCTGATGCATGGTTGCGCCATCCATCCCCGTAACAGTTCCCATATCATCCGGTGCTGATTTATGTTGGCGAGCGCGAGAATCGCTAAAGCGAATCCTGACACGACAGCCACGCCAGATGGAATGTTTACCGGCAGAAAAGCTGTTTTTCAGATATCTTATCGCTTTATCGCGCTGCAGCGTACACCGTCTGGCAATCACCTTCCTCTCCCAATTCCCGCTCGCTTTCGACGATCGCGAGTACTCCCCTCAACCCCTCTCCCCAATCTCCCTCTCACCCCCTCCATACCCGTTCTCATCTGTCTTTTATCGTGCCCGATAACGTGTTTTCGGTCGATCATTCTGTAGCGACGATATTTCGTCTATCAACTACCAGCGGCACATTGTGAGCCGTTATCTGTCTGGTCGATGTCCGACCGGCAGATAGATTGGATAGCGCGATGCGATTAGACGATTCGCAAGGATTTTTTGGAAAACCCTGATCGAAGAACGATTCAACGGTGTACATTAGCTTCGCACCTGTAGTCGAAGCTATTGCAATATTATAAGGACGAAACGGTATACTACGAAAGTTCTGACTACATAATCGGCAGGCAGCGGATTTTTATGAAACAAATAAGAATTGTCTGTATCAACTGCAAGAAACAGAAACTAAATAACAAATTCATTTTTTTTCAATCATTTTAACACATTGCGGTCGGGGCTCTGCGCGTTCAACACGCCCTCAAAGACCGCACATTTTCGAACGCTCCAAGAACATGCTTGGCAAGTAACAGGAAGCGGATACGCACATTTCTAATTTGCATTTAGTATTCTTAAATAATATTATATATACATAGTTTATATATCTGTTTATTATATAAGATTTTTTACATTTTAACTATTATTTATTATACAAATTTGAATATTGATTTAGAGTGGCTATAATGACTGATCATTTCTACATGCTTGGAATGATTCATTTGTTTCGCTAAAATTACTTAGGAATGCGGGAGGCTTCGTTACCATGGTTACGTAACAGAAATATTTACGGCTGGTTGCTTGTTGCCGATTAAATAAAAAAAACATGAAAACGAGATATCTCGTGTCCCGTCCGCAACGTTCAATTTGCTAAAAACGAGATATCTCGTGAGCCGTCCGCAATGTGTTAATATATTGAAAATGATACGTCGGTATTCTTAAATTCTCTTCATCCTGTCAATCTAAGTTTCAACTACCGAATTTCTCCATAAATGCATAAAACCCGCGATCTGCTAATTAGCTCAAAATCTAAAAGGTATGTCGAGTATATTAAAAGTGTAAACTGTCTATCTTGGAAACCACTAAATTCACGAAGCTAAAATCTTGCATTTCATGTCCCCTCTAAAGTACAGCCAAGAAAAATCTACTTCCCTCGAGAACGCGCATAACTGGCGTAATGAGCTTTGACTTTCCTTCGCTTAAAAATTAATGAATACGGATGAATAATATGGATGTTTCGATTTACGGTAAGAAGAAATTACAAATCAGTTTCGGACAGACTAGGATACATGATGCCATCTCAGGATAGCAGAATTAGGTGAGTCCATCTGTATAACTGATCTCCACAGCGATGAATAGTCACGAAGATGTTCGGTTCAGTTATGTTTAGAAGATAGAATTCAAGATGAATGGTGACCAGCGCCGGAGTAATTAATAAAATTCGAACAACAAATCTACACCGTTTATCAAAACTGCGCCTGCTGATCGTAGATATCTTCGAAAACAGGAAGAGGCAACCTCGATATAATATCCTGTTTACAAACGAGTTCATTTCGATTCTTTATTCCTCACAGGCAGTTTGTCCCCCGGCGCGCCACGTTACGAAACACGGTGCACTGGCTCGATTTCTCTGATAATCTTTGCCCCAACGACCCGCAAACGTCGTTCGGTGTCGAGGAACTCGATCGGAAATGGTGACGAACACATGCTCCACGTTCCTTCGCGGAGAACAACCAACAACACTCGCAAGTGCAGCGATAATCGCATTCCTCTTTGTTACACGCATTGCGAGATTACACGCCGCGGTACGGAGCGCGTATCGCTCTGCGGAAACAACCATGGTGACCAATATGTGCTGCCATTCGAGATCGGGAGTTACCCGATACCGGATTCTACCTCTCCACATAGTTTAAAGGATTTCTTCTTTCAGGAACGAGAAATTCGCGATCTTAGAGCTCTGGTTTATTGCTCTTAATAAATACTTTATTCAGTTTCACATGTTAACATTATACCCACCGAGCAATAAAACCGACTGACGCGTAGTTTTATGAGAATGACACGACTGAATTTAGTATTTAAACTTCTTGTCATTTTTATTATGATATATACTTGAATTAAGAAGTTCATTTAACCGTAAAATGTAACCAGCCAGGAAATGTCGATCATGTTATTTTCACTGGTATGGTAGGTTTAGTGTTAACAATAATCCCTATTTATTTATATATAGCTTTATATATTTATATATAGAGTATAGCAACGTGAATAATAAATAACGGAAACCTAACAGATGTATTAGAACGGTAATATCGTCGTCAACTTAGTATAATTATTACACATTATATAAATGTCCAATCGGATGCACATTTTTGAAACTGACGCAGAAGATTGTCATTTTGCGTAAGGATCCGCACCCTAATTATGAATTTAGTATTAATATATATATATATTAGTAATAATATACTAATAGTAGTATTTAGTATAGTATAGTAGTAGTGAAAGGTTATTGTCATCATTAGCGAATCGCTATCACGGGCAAAGAAAGTAACGAAATGTAATACATAAAAAATCGCATAGAAATAAATGGTGAAATCGGAGAGAAACGATGTCATAATGAGATCTTACACAGATAAAAAATATATTAGGAAGCAATTAGATGTTCATATCCTATATAACTGGAGGCAATGATACATCCTGTTTGAAAACGAATAAATGAATAAGATGTTCACATTATACATAACAATTAACGTGACTTTATGTATAACATTAAAATCCGATACAGGGCAATAAAGATCAGCAAGAAGGAGATCGTGAAATTTCTAATAGGTGCATAAAACTTACTGCAGAAGGGGGTTAGATTGNTGCCGATTAAATAAAAAAAACATGAAAACGAGATATCTCGTGTCCCGTCCGCAACGTTCAATTTGCTAAAAACGAGATATCTCGTGAGCCGTCCGCAATGTGTTAATATATTGAAAATGATACGTCGGTATTCTTAAATTCTCTTCATCCTGTCAATCTAAGTTTCAACTACCGAATTTCTCCATAAATGCATAAAACCCGCGATCTGCTAATTAGCTCAAAATCTAAAAGGTATGTCGAGTATATTAAAAGTGTAAACTGTCTATCTTGGAAACCACTAAATTCACGAAGCTAAAATCTTGCATTTCATGTCCCCTCTAAAGTACAGCCAAGAAAAATCTACTTCCCTCGAGAACGCGCATAACTGGCGTAATGAGCTTTGACTTTCCTTCGCTTAAAAATTAATGAATACGGATGAATAATATGGATGTTTCGATTTACGGTAAGAAGAAATTACAAATCAGTTTCGGACAGACTAGGATACATGATGCCATCTCAGGATAGCAGAATTAGGTGAGTCCATCTGTATAACTGATCTCCACAGCGATGAATAGTCACGAAGATGTTCGGTTCAGTTATGTTTAGAAGATAGAATTCAAGATGAATGGTGACCAGCGCCGGAGTAATTAATAAAATTCGAACAACAAATCTACACCGTTTATCAAAACTGCGCCTGCTGATCGTAGATATCTTCGAAAACAGGAAGAGGCAACCTCGATATAATATCCTGTTTACAAACGAGTTCATTTCGATTCTTTATTCCTCACAGGCAGTTTGTCCCCCGGCGCGCCACGTTACGAAACACGGTGCACTGGCTCGATTTCTCTGATAATCTTTGCCCCAACGACCCGCAAACGTCGTTCGGTGTCGAGGAACTCGATCGGAAATGGTGACGAACACATGCTCCACGTTCCTTCGCGGAGAACAACCAACAACACTCGCAAGTGCAGCGATAATCGCATTCCTCTTTGTTACACGCATTGCGAGATTACACGCCGCGGTACGGAGCGCGTATCGCTCTGCGGAAACAACCATGGTGACCAATATGTGCTGCCATTCGAGATCGGGAGTTACCCGATACCGGATTCTACCTCTCCACATAGTTTAAAGGATTTCTTCTTTCAGGAACGAGAAATTCGCGATCTTAGAGCTCTGGTTTATTGCTCTTAATAAATACTTTATTCAGTTTCACATGTTAACATTATACCCACCGAGCAATAAAACCGACTGACGCGTAGTTTTATGAGAATGACACGACTGAATTTAGTATTTAAACTTCTTGTCATTTTTATTATGATATATACTTGAATTAAGAAGTTCATTTAACCGTAAAATGTAACCAGCCAGGAAATGTCGATCATGTTATTTTCACTGGTATGGTAGGTTTAGTGTTAACAATAATCCCTATTTATTTATATATAGCTTTATATATTTATATATAGAGTATAGCAACGTGAATAATAAATAACGGAAACCTAACAGATGTATTAGAACGGTAATATCGTCGTCAACTTAGTATAATTATTACACATTATATAAATGTCCAATCGGATGCACATTTTTGAAACTGACGCAGAAGATTGTCATTTTGCGTAAGGATCCGCACCCTAATTATGAATTTAGTATTAATATATATATATATTAGTAATAATATACTAATAGTAGTATTTAGTATAGTATAGTAGTAGTGAAAGGTTATTGTCATCATTAGCGAATCGCTATCACGGGCAAAGAAAGTAACGAAATGTAATACATAAAAAATCGCATAGAAATAAATGGTGAAATCGGAGAGAAACGATGTCATAATGAGATCTTACACAGATAAAAAATATATTAGGAAGCAATTAGATGTTCATATCCTATATAACTGGAGGCAATGATACATCCTGTTTGAAAACGAATAAATGAATAAGATGTTCACATTATACATAACAATTAACGTGACTTTATGTATAACATTAAAATCCGATACAGGGCAATAAAGATCAGCAAGAAGGAGATCGTGAAATTTCTAATAGGTGCATAAAACTTACTGCAGAAGGGGGTTAGATTGATTATTCATTAACACGAATATAAATCGAAGATACAAAATAGTTCAATGAATATTTTTCATCGTGACGCGTATTCGTTTTCATAAACGATTAATCATTGTAAGTGACTCAACGGAAGCACAGATAAAATCGTGCAGCTACGCGACAATTATCTAAACAATGTTTCAATTAAGAATGAAAATTATAAAAAAACAATATCGCTTCGGCGTACAAAACAAAAGAAAGTGGTTGCAAGGTAAACAAGGTTGCAGGAGAGAGATGCATAAATTGAATGCACATGGAAAGAAAAGGAACGCGATAGAAGTGGACACAAAAGATCGAGAAAGAGTTCCTCTGATAAACCTAAATGAGAGATTTATGTACGGATAAAAGTCTTTCCTTTTCAGACACGATAATAATACAGATGTTCGGCTCTCAATCTTTAACGATCTACGAAAACATTTTTATAGTGTAAAAACGACAAAATTGGTTGTTCCATTAACGTATGCATGTCGGTGGCATGGCGTCATCGCTAGTATACTATAAATAAAGTTCTGTTAGCGAACAAGCAGAAGCTCGGAAGTAGAAGACCGTGGACCAGAGAAAATGTATGCACATAATTACCATAATCCCCCAAAGCCACCTTAATAAATAAGAACTTATGCTTCAAACGTTTTGCGTTCATTTTAATTTACAAAAAGCGTAGATATTCGCGGCAACGTACAAAATTGTTTTTAAAAGTTCAATAAACAGTTACGAACTTCCCGCGTTTCATTATTCTAGTTAAATTTTATCTATCACTATCGAAAACACGCGCGTGCTCGGAGTAATATTCGTCGTAATTATATGGAAAACAGTCAGCTGTTCATCGGTATATAGGAATGAAAACACAGACAGACACGTATCACAATGACGCACAAGTAAAACGTTACTGTTACGAGATCCGCGTGACGGATTTTTCTGGTCGCTTATCGCGCGAGAACCAGTGGCCATTACGAGCAAATTACATAAAGAGGAAAAGTCCCGGGAGAAGCACTCACCATAATGGCGATCAGATGTCTGTAGTCGTACGGGAGAGGCCCGTCGCCCCTCAGGATGAAATGTTGAGTACGAAGAAAGTGTTCTAAGTACGAGGGATGCGATGCCATCACTCTGGAGACATGGTCCAGTCTGTTGTTTTGAAGAAACGCATCCATCAACAAAATATGAGTCTGAAACGAAAAGAAAGATAACGGTTAGTCAGAGAAAATCGCCGCTTAAAATCAGCAACAATCCCATATCTGTTTGTGAGCGCATAACCGAACCCTGATAAGTATATTTTAAAAGTTCAGCGCATATTGTCGAGAAACCTAAGTACACACTTTGTGTACAATCAACGATATTTTTAGAATTACATATATAAATACTTTGCCAATAAAAATCCCTTTATTTTATATTTCCTTTTATATCCTTTTATAATCCTTTTATATTTATCCTCGTAACAAAGTTGTTAAATCAGTAAAAAGAGGTTGCTGTTAACACTTTAACGACCGATGGCGGTTGAACGTCTACGCGTCCTCTACACGTCTCAACCAACATTTTAATATTTTCATCACATTGGCATTAAACAATATTTTCTTATCGATTCTGTATATCTTATCTATTGCGAAAGATATGTAAAAATTTTTTTAAAAATTGTATAATAATATGGGAACTTACAGTAGTTCAATCTAACACTCTTACCTCAATAATAGGTAACAAGTTTATTGGTTGCCATGACAATCGAAGCGCAGACTATTGGTCAGAGTAAATAGCCGATTTATAAGCTATCGGTCGGTAAGAGTTGAGAACAAATAGCCCATTTACAGGCTACCGGTTGGTAATCGTTGAACACGCAAAGCCAATAACAAGCTACCGGTCGGTAAAGTGTTAACAACGCTTGTTGAGAACAAAAGAACAGTTTGTTCGACGATCTTAAGGAGGATCATCTTTGGCCTTTAGATGAATTTCCAGGTCGTAAAATGTTCGATTGCTGCTTAATTGCGCAGCAATTCGATACGGAGCCATGAATAAATCGATTTCACCAATGTGAAAATGTGAAGACGGATGAACTATCAAGCGAGGATTTTTTATGGAACCATTTGGGAGGAACGTACGCGACCGTTAACGTCTAAATTGCTTTCACGTGTTTCGGCCGGAGCTCCCCGTTCCCGACACAAGCCATAAATTTCAGCATTAGAAAGTTCGTAGTATTCTCCGCGTCCGATTTTCGTCCGGCTGGATCGTCGTACGGCGGTGGGTCCCTGAAATCGGTTCGCCGACGCGAGAAGACTCTCTCGCGATCCAGAAGCAGAAGCGTTCACGGTATAGAATATTGCCGGCCGGCTCTCGACGTTGATTTATGAATCGCGATGCCACGATATTCGCCTACCGTTTCACCGGTCGCTGGGCTACGTAACAACCGTAAACGCTGATCACATAATCGCGTTAATGACACAATCGCGCTCGTCGCCCCTCGCGCGCCACAAAATCGAGCAACTGGGTCACTCGGAAGCGATCCTCGAAATCAGGTGTTCGTGTCCCGTTGCGTCACCTTAACCGGCCGAATGTGTTCACGGTACGATAGATGTATGCATTATGCGAAACGATGCGCGTCGGAAAGCCGTGAAACCGATAGACAAGTTGGCGTCACCATTGTCGTCTTCGTCTCCTCGTCTTACTTAGCCGTCGTTGTAGTCGTCGGGACGTTCTTAAAACGCAGATGCGACCGCGCTAAACATAGATCTTACATCGACCCACGACACCCTTTCGACGCTTGCTCGTTTTTGTTTTCGATGCCGTGGGGAACTCTCCTTTGCTTTCGTACAGCTGCGACCTGGCCTATTTAAACGATACTTTTTTTGATTTCTTTATTTTGACAGGCGGCGATCGTTCGCGCCGCGAGACCTCTTCGCTTCTTGGTTGTCACGGGATCGGATTGTATTTCTTTCGAATTTACTATTCTAGATAGTTTGTACTAAAAATATGCTGACGCTGGATGAGCGTGACTCTTCGAAAGTGTAACTTGGCTCATTACGAAAGAATTGGTGATTCTTTTATTGTAAAGCATTGTTCACAGTCTTGTCCTTCTCATTTGCGCATCTTCCTAAACCTGATGTGTACAAATACTTGCTAGTATGTACAATGTACGATATTTTATTATTCTGCAGGGAATTGGTACTCTTACAATAGCATCGACAACTGCGATTTTCTGGTAGTCAATTCAATTCATTAGGATTCGTTCGAATAAGATCAATGTTGTTTTGAAATAAGAATTTTTGAGATATGATTTCTATGAATTTTTTTTGCCTCACGATATTATAAACTAAAATTTCTCTGTCGAAGCTACACACATAGTTCCTATTAAAATGTACGCTTTCTTGTTCGCTCGAACATTTACGTTTTCAATTTAATTACCCCAAAGTTCACCGCGAAAGAATCGCCGTGAAAGTGCGGAGCTTTTAATGAATTGCGTTTCGTCGCGTGTTACTCTGTCCATCGCGGAGGTAGTGCTACAAGCACGATCCTGCGTGAGTGCGAGTATAATATTGATGTGAACAGTTGCCATCCTTATGGCCGGTCGACGACCCGCGCGTACAAATTAAATGGGAAAGGCATTTCACTCGGACTCTCGCCACGACAGGAATAATATCGATTAGCATCAGCGTCGATCAGATAGCAATTTGGAAACCACGCGTTTCTTTGTCCTCTTGACAAAAGAGTGGTCTCTCCTAAAGAGGGTATGATGATGTTATTTTAACAAAACGACGACGTTGCATGTTATTAACACGTTCCGTGCCGAGCTTTTTTTACTCGAATCTTCACACTTTGATATTTTACTAAAACTTGATGTATTACGTGCAATTATTAATTCTCGTACACATAACAACGTAACAAAAACTTATCAACGCCCATTCTTGCGGTGGAAATTGATTCTTCGGTTCTAAATTTCTTGTAAACAATTTGTTCAGTTCACTAAGTAAACATGCAAGCGTGTACCATCGATGGTACACGTGGCACGGAACGTGTTAAACAT